AATATAACTTTTTCCTGGTAATCTATCTGATCAATTTAATGTTTATGCCAGCCAGAAGAACTTACAAGGGTACAGGTTTTCTTTCCCTCTCTATAGCCTCAGTGGGTGGTGGGATTATGTTTCCCATGATTGTAGGCCCAGTCAGCCCTTGAAGAAGGATCCAGAGTTACAGCAGCCATCAACTTTCATTATTATAATGAGTCTCCCCACTTTGCAATTTCCTGAATGAGACCTGAAATCTTGATACCAACAGATATTATATGACAAAACATAAATGCATCAGTTTTCCAGTGACATTAATATTTCTGGTCTCTGCTTCTCATCTCATTGACTTGGTAAGTGTCTCCCTATCTCTTAATCAGAAGGCTCCTTATCCACCACTACCTCGGAGAGGGGTTTTACAGACATCCTGTCTCTGTTCTTGCCTCCTGGGAGCAGGCCTAAAAATGACAATCAATTCATTTGGCTAAGCGGTATGTTGCTGCCTCTCCACTCTGCTTCCCATTGTCCATCCAGCCACAGTATTCGTGCTCCGGTTGCCTCTTCCAGGCACTTTCACAAGTGAGTGGCTGACCTTTGACTGTATTGCGAAAGGTAAGTATTAGATTGGGTCTCAGTTCATGGGCTGAGCTGTACGTCGGAGGTTTCAGAGTTGCCTTCTGCCAGATCCTGGCTTATAAATGTACAGGAAGTACAGCTGACTGTGCCAAGTGTTCAAGGCCTGGGCACTCTCAGTCCTTTGGGTGCTGACTAGAGTCTTTCTCAGCACTTACAGAGCCCCCTGTCTGTCTCCATCTCTGTGCCTACAGGAAATTCATCTCTGACTACGCAAGCATTTACGTGGTGTGAATTCTGAGACCCCAGGAAATCCCATCTATCTACTCCCCAGCCTGTTCTGCCATGCCTGAAATCACTTTAATTGCCAAAACTTCCATTGACCAATTAAAGTTTTACAAACCTCTAAGAACAGTTAAATTTTGTAAATATAAACCCTTTATTAAAGCATAACATGCAAACATAAAAGTACACAAGTCATAGGTAGAAATGAACCACCCATGCAGTGAATGCCAGGGTCAAGAAACAGAATGTTAATATTGCCATTTCCCCAAAAGTCCCCTCCAACTACTGCCTTGTGCCTGCTTCCAGTCACCTCCTGTATGCCCACCAGGGGAATCATTATCCTAACCTGGAACAGATAGATTACTTTTGTTCTTATTTTTTATATGAATAGGATTGTGTGATATGTTTTCTTTTGCATACACAAAGCTTCTTTTGTTCAGCATCACATTGATGAGATTCATCTATGCTGCTGCATACAGTTGTCGTTTACTTGTTTTTATTGCTGTATAGTATTCCAAGGTGTGAATAAGTCGCAATTTATTTAATTATTCTAATTCTGCTGACCGTTTGGGTTGCTTACAGTTTTTTACTTATAAATAGTGCTAGTGCTTTCTAAGTCAGGTGCTTTGATGAATATAAATACACGTTTCTGTTGAAAGTACACTGAGGAGTAGAACATATGAGACATAAGACATATATATTTGGCATTAGTAGGTACTATTGAACATATTTTCCAAGGTGATCGTACCAATTTACATTCCCACAACAGCATAAAATTATTATAGTCATACTATATCTCCATCAGGACTAGATATGTCTTCTCCAGTTAGTTATTCTCTTAAGTGTGTAACGATGTGCACTGTGTTCTTAATTTTCATTTCTCTGATCACTAGTGAGAACGAGAACTTCATTTTATGTGCATTGGCAATTCAGACATTTTGAACTGTCTGTTCAAGCCTTTAGCTAGCTTTTCTATTGTTTTTTTCCCCTTAGTTTTAAAGTCCTTCATATAATCTGACAGTTTGTCTACTGCAATATATTCTCCCACTCTGTGACTTAACTTTTCACCTTTTAATAAAGTGTTTTAAATGAATAGAAACCTGCACTTTATTTTTGTACTTTGTGGTTAGCCCTTTGTATATCTTATGTAAGAAAATTTCTCCTGCCCTAAAGAAGAGATCCTGGAATATCATGAAGAGGTTTTCATGTTATTTTTGAAGGTGACTAATATGTGTGGTGTGAATCAATTTAGGAATGAGCGTTTTTTTTTAACCATAATATTAAATTTGCTCAGAACTATTTACTAAGAAGTCCATACTTAAACCTATGCCATTAATCATGATATTATATAAATGTGGATCTGTTTCTAGGCCATACTCAAGAAGCAGTTAATTGTTAAATCACAAGAATTTCCTCAGGAACTTCCCTGGTGGTCCAGTGGTTAAGACTACATGCTTCCAATGCAGGGGGCGAATTTGATTGCCGGCTTTCCTGATAGCTCAGCTGGTAAAGAATACAACTGCAGTGTGGGAGACCTGGGTTTGATCCCTGGGTTGGAAAGATCCACTGGAGAAGGGAATGGCTACCCTTTCCAGTATTCTGGCCTGGAGAATTCCATGGACTATACAGTCCATGGGTCGCAAAGAGTAGGATGCGACCGAGCGACTTTCACTTCACTTCAGGGAACTAAGATCCCACATGCAGCCAATAAGTTAAAAAAAAATAATAATTTCCTCAATAAATGCTACTTTCCTCAAGTAAAGCATATATTATATTCTTAATATGAAGTATGCATCATTCTAGGTATTTTAGCTGCATTGTTTTGTTTCAAACCTCATAACCCACTATGAGATAGGCAGTACTAGTATTTTCATTTTATAGGTGAGGAAATTAAGACTTAATTAAAAACTTGCCCAAGATCTCCTGGGCCTCCCTGGTGACAAGTGGTAAAAGAATCCGCCTGCAAATGTGGGAGATGCGTATTTGATTCTTGAGTTGGGAAGATCCCCTGAAGAAGGAAATGGCAACCCACTCCAGTATTCTTGCCTGGGAAATCCCATGAACATAGGAGCCTGGAGGGCTACAGTCCATGTGGTCACAAAAGAGTCGGACACGACTGAGCAACTAAACAACAGCAACAACCAAGATTTCCTAGCTAGTAAGTGACAGAAGCCTGACTTGACTGTGGGTCTGGCTGACTTTGAAGTGGAGTTCCTTACTATACTGTTTCTCAAAGCAACATTCCCCCCACCCCATCCCACCGCCAGGCAATGGGAGTGGCAGGGAATAAGGGTGTGTGTGTAGGGGAGAAGGGTGATGGAGTGGAGTGGGGACCAACTTCCCTCACCCCCACCACATACCTATTGTAGTATTTTTTGCTTTGAGTTATACAACATTGGTGTCCATATAAATTTTCATATTCATTAAAACAGCACATTTTATAGATTGGAAACCATAGGTTCATGCCATTTACCAGGCACTTCATATTGATAGACTATTTTGTTGTTATTTTTCTATATATTCTTTCGTCATTAGTCATACTTGGAGAGTAAGGAGTGACTTTTACATATTTGTAACCCTGATGACTAGGACAGTGCTCTGTCCAAAGCAGACACCTGATAAATATTTGTTATTTTTTTAGTTGTTGAGTTGTAATTGCTAACTTGAGATTTCCTGATCAGGTAGGTTATTTCTCCTGTATTAATGGTTTTAGTTCAGATTATGTGATCTATCCCTGGCATACATTTTCTATTTTCTCTCTTTCAATAACTGCTGCCTCAAACAGAGAAATACAAATCTTTGGCTGAATGATCTGGTAACAACAGATCTGAAATTCTTCAAATGTTAGAACCAGAAGCTTTTTCTCATACAATTAGTGAGTTACAAAAGAAAGAAAGAAAGAAAGAAAGAATTTTGAGAGAGAGACAGAAAGAAAACTGAGTCTTGTAGAGAAATAAGTATTCCCAGTTCTAACCCCTCACCAGGCCTGTGGCTTCTATTTCTTAGGTGCAAAATGGGGCTAATAATACTGCATGCAGCACAGGCTGTTTTAAGAGTAAAATGAAGCAACAGACAAAAAAATACTAAGAATGGTAGAAAATGCTATTAAAGATCAAATATTGGTAGAAAGTAAATTGAATACCAGGTGGTGCTAGTGGTAAAAAAAACCTACCTGCCAATGCAGGAGACATAAGAAATATGGGTTCCATATTTCTGGGTCTGGAAGATCTCCTGGAGGAGGGCATGCAACCCACTCCAGTATTCTTGCCTGTAGAATTCTTGCCCATGGACAGAGGAGCCGAGGGGTCTACAATCCATAGGGTTGCACAGAGACCAACCCCACTGAAGCAACTTAGCAAGCTCACACAGGTGTGTTTGGTTTTATCAATAATAAATAAAAGAACTGAGTAGATATTTCAGATATTTACTAAAAAAGGAACTTCTTGACAAAATAATTCAATATAATGTTAAATCATGAAGCTTCCTGCTGCTTCAAATATTTTAAAATTTATCTTTAATTGGAGGATAATTGCTTTACATTTATTGGTTTCTGCCGTACTGCTTTAAATATTTTAATAAACGTTTTATTGAAGTTTAATCCGATTGCATTTTGAAATTGAATTTACAATAATTTAACTTACAGATTTTTTAAGATCATATTCATTGCATGTGTAAAGCAGGATGAATCTGTAATTTACTGTCAGGGATAGATGTGGCTTGAACGGATAGAGATTGTTATCTACCATTTAGTTCAAAAGATGTAAAGTGGTGAGTGTTACGTGCTAAGGTTTTTGCTATAATGAGCCTCTCGTGAAAAGTCAGTGGCATGCCAGTTCAGTTTTCAACAAATATCTGACGTGCGTAATTTCCAAGGAACCGTGTTGGGTACCAAGGAGGAAGCAAAGAGGAATAACATGAGCCGGAGCGGGGATAAGACACGAACTCAGTAACTAACTGCAAAACAGAATGGGGCATCATAATTTAGAAAAGGGAAAACACGGCAGAGCTTAAAATGTTTCCCGTCTGCATTTTTTCTTTTCTTTTTAAAGTAATTATTTAGATCCCTTTTCACCTGTGCCAAGTCACTTCTCTGAAGAGAATCTGCGAGCCTGTTAAGTCGGCCCTACCCACTCTTTCTTTTTCCTCTCCTGGCATATTCGATGAGCTCCTCTGCCATCAGGACTACATTTGGAATGGCATCTACTGTGTGGGTGGTGAAGCGATGAAAAGCTATTTTTGTTCTAATTATGAGAACTGTTTTGTGGGGGGCGGGGGTGGCGGAGGAGGCAGGTCGGAGACTGAGACGCTCAGCGAGCGTGCTGAGAAGAGGCGTTACTAAGGTTACTAGAAAGAGGACGGCAGGTGATATTCAGGAAGAGTTTTTTCCTACAACGAAACAAATTTTCAAGCTAGGGGCGGGGGCTTAGTATGAGCAGTGCCACGCGATATTAGATGCTGGGCTCCCGAGAGGGAAATGAAAGGAGGCCCAGGAGAAAAAAAAAAACCGAATTCTGCGACTTCGGGGAAGCCGGAAGCCTCTGACTTCCCTCCCGGCCCTGTTCTTCCGGTGCCTTTGTTTCCCGGGGCTGTCCTAACTTGTAGCACAAGGTCTGCGCTCCCGGGTACGGTGTCATTTAAGTGAAACACATTTAAGTGAAACACGCAGCCGCGCCGAACCGGAAGCAGCGACCAGTCGGGACCCGTAGGTAGAGGCGGGGAGCGGCGGCGGCGGCGGTGGCGCTAACCGTTGTGGTGTTGTGGAGAGGCTTCACGGCAGGGGCGACGCGGCTGGTGCTGCAGCGGCTCGCTCAGGCCGTGGGTTGTCGCTGCAGACGTGGGCAAAAGAGGGAACGACAACTCAGCGAGCGCACTTGGCAGAGCGGGGAGGAGGGGAAGGGGTGTGTGAGGCGGGCCTTGAGTGTATTATTGGGATCGGGGAGAAGGACTTCGAAACTTGTGCCTCATATGCTACTAGTTGATTGTTGTTTTTGTTGTTGTTTTTTCTTTAATGGCAGATTTTGGAGACACCCCGGGTCTCCCTTCTCGAATTTCTCTCGGTCCTTGTCAGTTGACTCGTAGCCTAAAGTGAGTGAGCTTTTTAATGCAGTCAATGAATTGAGATGGGTGTGCGATGGATGAGAATAAAAGACGAGACGGGGTGCAAGGGTAGGAGGGTGTGGGAACAAGGTGATGATGGTAATGGTAATTAACATTAATAAGGTTTTACTGTACCTGACACTGTTCTAAAACTCGTTATATGTGGTAGCTCATTTATTGACTAGCCCTGTGAGACTGGTACTTTTACTAGCCTCACTTTATAGGGGAGGAAACAGGTTCCCAGAGATTAAGGAGCATGCCCAAAAAAGATATGAAAAGTGCAAAGACAGGATTTGCGTTCTGGCAGGCTGACCCTAGAACCTCTAAGCTCCTGACGAGATTTCTACCCCTGTGAAGGAAGTGAGGACATAAGGAGTGAGAGGCTGGTATGGTTTGAGTCTGTGAGATAAAACAGCTGAAGCAAGTAGTTTACATGATAAAAGGTGTGTGAGATCTCGATGTGTCTTATATGTAAGCAAGAGTAAAGTGGAAACTGCCCTAAACCATCTCAACCTTGGCTAGGGCCTTCCTCTAGAGTTCTGTGGGACAGGGAAGAGAAATATACACCCATACAGGTAAGTTTGAAAATGGAATAATAAAGATCACACTCAAAGGATTTAAAGATTGTTTGATGCAGCCACCTTATTTAGCAGATAAAGCCCAAAGAGATGCAGTAATTTATTTAAGGAAGCTATAACTAGAAACATACTTTTTGTCTTGGATCTAGTGCAATGAAGTTTAGGAAGTTCTTTCCTTTTTCTACTGTACTTGCTGTAGTGAATATTAGAATTTTTAAAATTTGACATATCATTTGATCTGGACGGGTTCCTCATATCTGTATGAATTGGTATTTATGACAAATAGTCAAATAATCCGTTCCTCCCCTGTTAATTTACGTTCCAAATTCAATGTAATGCTGAGACCAGGAGCTGCTTCTAACATATCTGAGTGACAATTTAGATCTTTTAGTATTCCTAAGAATTTTTATTTAAAAATGAATAGAAACAAGAGAAAGTTGTCTAGAGCAAAGGACAAGGTGGTTTACCTTGAAGAAACTAGGTTTAAAAGAAAAAGGAATTCATGAAAGAAGTTGGGGAGTTTTTTTTATCAATTGCTCATGTACTGTTCACAAATACAGTAAGTCCAATGTAGTAATCAAAATGTTAGAATATTCCAGACAGGCAGTTTGTAATAGTTGAGGTCATAGGATTAAGGATCAAGTAGATTACCTTAGCCATGCCATGTATTTCCTCTGTATAATTGATTTGCTTAACTTTGTCCTTGATTTCTTCATCTGTAAAATGGAGGTTATAGTTCCTAACTTGCAGAATTAGTAGCAGTGTTTGTAAAGAAACTAGTATAATGTCTGGAACAAAGTTGATGATAAATGCACAGCAGCTGTTACTCTGAATCAAATAGAAGTAACGCATTGCTGAACCTTGTATGTAGTGACTTGGCAGCTTCTAGACCTGGTTTTAAATGGAAAGGTAAAAGAGTAGCTTCATTTTCTGAAGGGTAAGCTGTTATTTCAAAGTGAATGAGAGTTTTATTTAGATGGCTAGATAGTCCTTGATATACCTACCACAATCCTTTAAAACTATTGTGGTTTTTAAGGATAACATATTTGAACTTTTCTGTTTCCAAAACTATGGCTAACTTAAGTTCTAAGTAACTGACTGTACTGCTTTATAGATGCATGGTCACGGAGGCTATGACTCTGATTTTAGTGATGATGAACACTGTGGAGAATCTAGCAAAAGGAAGAAAAGGTAAGTAATTTTTTATTGATCTATATTGCCCGTCCTTTCTAGATTGAGATGAGATATAAATAAATAATATTTAAAGTTTTTGGATTATGTTTACATGTGAAGACAACAGTGCTCTCTACTGAATGAGTTTTTGTTCATTAAACTATAGTGAATTGACTCCAAAATTTGAGAACAGTTGTGTGAAAGATAAAATAATATTTATGTTGTGAAGGGATTTGTGGAAAGGGAAACAAAGGAAATCAATTAAAGCTTTAAAATTTCTCTATTGCATGTATTTTTCATTCAACTGTCAAGGCCTCTACTTGGGACTGTCATAGCTAAGAAGGCACTTGGTTGGTGGTCCCTTTTTTAGTACTTGACTTCAAAATGAGTTTAGTGTGGAGGATGAGATTGTGATGCAGTGTGATTCTTAAGATTCTGTGAATGAGCAGACTAAGTGGCCAGAAGAAGGAGTGCATGGAAGTTTTTATTGAATGAAAGGGATAAAAACTGATAGCAGATAAAGCCTGAGCCTTAAAAAGAGGCTATGTCTTGGTGGAGTAGCTGTGTTTAGGGGTTGTGTTCAGCTTTCAGTGCTTAATGGATAGTAATTTTATCTGTTAGCTTAGGAGTGGTTGACTGATTCATGTTAACCAAACTTAACAAAAATTGGTTTATTATTTCACACTCAAGCAATATATTAAGCAACTAATTGGGACTGGACACTTTTGTTGGGTACTCAGTCTTCATGGATAACCAAAAGAATAGAAATAATTCTGTGATAAATTATATATTTATGTAATGAAAATGCTTTGCATTTTCAAAATTTTTCATTGAGAAATATTGTTTTGTTAGGATAGAATTTGAGCAAATTAATTGGATAGTCTTGTGTACTCTAGGATTATACCTGTTTACCTAACTAGGGCTGAACACCTATAATGTATATCATCTATAATTAGCCCTTCTTTTTTCATGTTATCAATTATTGAAAGCTTTATTATCTCTACTTTGCAAACAAGGAAATTGTGGCACACAGAGATTTAAGTATTTTAAAATAGTAAATGACAGAGCCAAAATTTGAACCAAGGACCCTAGATGGTATGGCACCAGAGCACATGCATTTGTTAGTCTCATCTTCTCCATTTTATAGGTATTAAATATTTAAGTTAAGATATTAATTAAACTGTTGAAGAAGACATAAAATATCTCATTAAAGATCAATGAATCTTTAATAAGAGTTGAATTCTTTAAAACATGTTCCAATTAGGAAAATAATAAAGAAACAGGAAACACCCTTTGCAAAGAATGAACTTTTCTAATAATATTTCTTCTTAACAAATCAGGACAGTTGAAGATGATTTACTACTCAAAAAGCCATTTCAGAAAGAGAAACATGGAAAGGTGGTTCATAAACAAGTTGCAGCAGAATTGCTGGATAGGTATGATACTTCAAATTAAATTACTTTTTTTTCCTTTAAGATGTTGGTTGTTTGATTATATTAATTAAATACAGACATTTGAATTTGTTTAAAATTTTTCTTAACAGGGAAGAAGCAAGAAATAGAAGGTTTCATCTCATAGCTATGGATGCTGTATCCTTTTTATATTCCTAGATTTTATGACTAATACAGTTTTAAAGTCTGCTGCCTTCCAGGTAGCTCAGATGGTAAAGAATCTGCCTGCAATGTAGGAGAGACCTGGGTTCGATCACTGGGTCAGGAAGATCCTCTGGAAATGGCTGCCCACTCCAGTATTCTTGCCTGGAGAGTCTCTTGGACAGAGAAGCCTCGAGGGCTACAGCCCACAGGGTCGCACAGAGTTGGACACAACTGAGCAACTAATACTTTACTTATTTCATAAAATCTTGTGAAGGTAGATGTAAATTTTATAAGATAAGTGTTTATTGATGTGGAATTTTGCCTTTTATACTTTTGAGTACAGTTCTCTTTTTACTAATATGTAAGAAAGATTTAGAAACAAAAAATAATCAAATATATTACTAATTTCCTATAAATAGGTTTACAAAATCCATGAATTTGCATATATTTTTCCAACCTATTTTTGCCAAGCTATCGACATTTCTCTTTTTTTACTATTACCTTTAGTCTCATCTTTACTGTTACTCTTTTTCTGACCTGGTTCTTAGCTCTTTAAGTTCTTATAAAACTGGTATTTAATAATAGATCTGTTTGTGAACTATCTCAGGCCTGTTGTGGCTTCAAGTTTCAGGCATAACTTAGGGCTGTCTTTAAGCTATACCTTGTTTCCCTGTTATAGTCATGTCTTAGCCTAACATTTTGGTAAGGCTGTGGGTTTAGTTACACTAGCTTCTACCGCTAGACATCCATATTACCTTAGAAATATTAGAGAGTGAAAATATTTTGGGGTATTTATAACTATGGTCAGCATAGAGATAAGGAGAAGGTGGCAATTAGTTATAATTGCTATTCTGTAGATACCAGTTTCACTTTATTTTTCCTGATCATTTAAGTTATAGAAGTTCTTGTCACCAATTTATTTATTCCACTTATCTCCTAACCCAGTAAGTTAGCTTTCCCATGGATGTCATCTGCCCCTTGTTCTTTAACTTTCAACATCTGCTGTGCCTTCTGTTACACACCATTCAGTTGGAGGTGTTGGAGCATCTAGTTACTGTCTGATAGTGTGAAAGTCCGGATCCCCTTTTTTGGAGTAGGTGGAGGTCGGGGTTATACATTATCTGAAATGTTTGCTAGAATAGAGTAGTTACTGCCTACAAATTATCTTGTTAGGCTGCCTCTCTCCTGGTTGTTTTGTTAGAGGGAACAGCCTTTTGTTGGAATTTTTTTTTTTTTTTCCTCTTTCCATGTTGCCAGCTTCTTTGCCTCCAGGTCTAGGATTTACTAAGCCAAAAGAAAACCTGGGGAACTCACTACCATGTCATACCATGAATCCTGAAGGTCTGCCTTCTCTTTACCTTTCAGAGTCGTCTTATGTTTGTTTTATATATAATTTCCAAGGTATTTAGTTCTCAGAGGAATAGGAGGAAGTGCAATTGACCCTTGAACAACACAGGGTTTGAACTGTGTGGGTCCACTTATATAAGGATTTTTGTTTTACTATGTTACTGGTGTAAATAAGGGTATTTATTTTACTGTGATACTAACGATCTGCACTTAGTTGAATCTACAAATGCAGAAGGCTGGCTGTACGTTATATGCAGATTTCGGACCTAGCAGAGGTAGATACCTCTATCTGTCCTGTTTAAGGGTTAATTATACATCATGGCTCCATCTTCCTGGAAGCAAAGTCCCGCCTACCACTTGTTCTTGTAAATAAAATTTTTTTTTGGAACACAGCTATGTTCATTCATTTAGATATTATCTGTGCTTACTTTCATGCTAAAATGGCAGAGCTGAGTAGTTTTGACAGAGACCATATGGCCTGCATATTTTACTATTTACAGAAAAAGTTTGCTGACCCGAGTCCTGAATGATTTAGTGACTTGCCAGTGTCACATGACCAGTTAGTGATTAAACTGAGAACTAGAACCCAGATCTCTGGGTATCTGGTTTTTCTTTTTTTCTTTTCTGAAATGTTAATTGCTTTGTTGCCCATTTTGGAATTATGTTTTGATTCGCTATTCTATTAGAACACATTGTGATCAGTTAAATCACTGTTTATCTTTAGTATAATTGGGTGTGAAAGTGAAAACGTTAGTCATTCAGTCACTCACTCACCTTATTCTTTTGTGACCCCATGGACTGTAGCCTTCCAGGGCCCTCTGTCCCTGGAATTTCCCAGATAAGAATACTGGAATGAGTTGCCATTTCCTTCTCCAGGGGATCTTCCTGATCCAGGGATGGAACCCACTTCCCCTGCAATACAGGTGGATTCTTATACTGCTGAGCTACTAGGAAAGCAAACATAATAGGATGTAGTCACAGACTACATGTCAGTTCTGTTGTGTGTGTGTTCAGCTCTAGAGAGAATATCATTGAGCTTTTTAAAACAAGTAAAATGCTCGTATATCTTATTATATTGCATTGAAAACAAACATGACTGTAGCTTATTGGATATTAAAAAAGAGCATAAAAAATAACATCTAATTTCTTATATTCTTTTTGAAAGCCTCAGGACTTAATATTATAAAAATTATATCTTCTATTTTGGAGTCTTTATTGTTACCAAAATAGCTAAATTATATTTTATAATAATGGAAGTTAAATTCTACTCCTTGCCTTTAACTTTAGAAACTATAATTTATTTTTCATATCATGATGATTGAAATGAATGGTGGTGTGAGGCTGTATGCAGTTCAGCAATAGAATAGGAAACTGTCCTCCCTAGAGTTATTGCCTGAAAACATTCAAAGCAATATAAAGAGTATTCAATAGAAAGTAAAAGTCCCTCTACTCTAGTGTTCACTCTTAGCAATTTAATATTTATTTTACCCTTTTAGATTTTTTTTTTATTTATAACCATCTATAGTATGCATATTTTAAAAAAACTAAGTGGACTCATTATGCTTTTTCCCCCTACTCACTAATATGTCATTGACACAGAATTACTCTTGAGCAAATAAAATCCTTAATTTTTTGCATTTCAGTATCAAAGGCATACAAAGTTTGTAAATGACTATATTTTATATTATGGTGGCAAAAAAGAAGACTTCAGACGATTGGGGTAAGTGTCATGAAGTGTATTTTACAGTGGGAGGAGATGGGTATGAAGACTCAGCTATTGTGTCTTCTCATTTTCTCCTGCTTTGCATTCTGGTTTTGTTGTTATATCATCAGTGGAGAGGCCGTACGTAGCTTCTAGCCAACCAGCTCCTTGAGAACTAATTTCTCTGGCAACAGGCCTTGGGCCAGATCTGGCCTGTTGAGCCAGATCTGATCGGGCAATAACAGCGTATGTGAGGAATACTCATGTGCCTGATTTTCAGTGGTTTTTGTTTTCCACAAGGATTTTTGAAATAATGAACTTTTTAAACCTCAGGCTTGGATTGCTTTTGGTAAGGCAAACAAGAGACCTCACTCTTACATTTCCTACACATGAAATTCCTTCTTATATCTGAGGCTCTTCTATCAGAGCCACTTAGTTTTGTGTGGATTTTACTCTCTTGGTTTAATGATTTTCTGAGTTGGTAAAGCCCTAAAAAACTCCACACCAGCTCATCTATCCCAAACTTTTCTCTCAATTTAGGCTATGTTCTCCAGCAATCCCTTTTTATACCCCTAAACTGCTGTCATCTTAAAAAATCATCTTCAGATCTCTTCCTCCTTTACGTCTTTCTAAGAAGCTGTAGTAAAATGAGGTGTGCAAAAGTTCTTCATGTATTTTAAACATTAGATCCCAATAGGATGGTGTTGCTGACTGATTTCAGAGTTTGAAACTTAAATTTTCATTCATTTTCATTTTCCATTTAGTGTTTATGCAGATTTTTCATTCTAGCTTTGGTAATTTACCACCCTTTGTATAATTAAACCAGCACTCGAAATGGGTGGGTTCCTTATCCATTCAAGTTGTTCGTGTAGCAGCACATTTTTTATAACTGCTTTTTGAAAATACTGAAATACTTTTAGTAAATATATACATATATATGCTTCATATAAAACTGTCTTTATGTATCTTATTTTTACTCAGGTGCTTAAAACTTTACACAACTGTTTAACTTAAATTTGACTAATTTTGTGTTCACATTGAAATTGGTTTTTCAGGGAAAATGACAAGACAGACATGGATGTTATACGAGAAAATCATAGATTCCTATGGAATGAGGAGGATGAAATGGACATGAATTGGTAATTGTAGCCTTGTGAGACATAATACATCAAATGCTATAGTCCTGTCTCTCCTGCTCCCTGAGTGTTTTCTTACTTTGTCCACCTGTGCAAAACATTTGGCCCCTGAATGGAACAGTTTTGAATCGAGGACATAAAACCATGACTCCAGTTATTGAATTTGGTTTGATTCTTTGGGTAGTTGTTAACAATTTTAGCTTCTCATTGTTTGACTTTGTCTTTAAAAAATAATTTATAACACTTTTACAATATTATTTGTTGTAATATGCTTCTTTAAAAATTTTTAAAATACTTTGGGAAACTGTAAAACCTAAAAATGGTTTTAAAAATTCAAACATTACAGAGGATAAAAAATAAAGATTAAGTCTCCTTTTCAACTTTGACTATCAGCCTTCCAGTTTCCCTCCCTAGTGACCCACTACTAATAGTTAATATTCAGATATTCTATGCACATGTAAATAATAGACCTCTTTTAAGACATTAATGTTTTTATCATATGCCTTTTTTGACATTGCTTCCAAGTAGTGAACAGTGGTTGAATTTCTAAATATATAAGATTTATATTTTTTTAATGAATCTAGGGAGAAGAGACTTGCAAAGAAATACTATGATAAATTATTCAAGGAATACTGCATAGCAGATCTCAGCAGATACAAAGAAAATAAGGTATGCCTTCCACATATTTATAGGTTTTTATTCATATACAGTATTATTTTTTAATATACTGTTATGCCCCATATTATTATTTTAAGATGCTAATTCAAGTCTAGGTTGTTCTGCGTCTATGAAATATCAGTTGGACCGTTTTAACCTGTATACCTATGGAATTTACAAAGGGCCTCTAAGTCAAAGGGTGCCTCTTTGTGAGCTGAAACATGAAAAGTCTAAAATTAAACACAAGTGGCTCCTGGATCTTGTTTTATCCTGACTCTAATCCAGAGCCCTTAGTGATTATAATGAATGATTTGACAGTGCACAGTATTGTCTTGTTTCACAAATGATGTTTGAAATTGGTAGGCTTTATTTTTCAAACTGATCACCACTTATAAAGCAGCAGAAGCACATATTCTTTTATATTAACATGTCTTTGTCTATTCTAGTAAAACTAGCTCTCATCATTGTCAGTAATGACAAATTGCCCTTCCTGCTTTATATTTTATTTTAGTAAATGTTAAAGTAGTTTTTTAAAAATTGAAGTACATTTGATGTACAATACTGTATTTCTGATATATAGCAAATTGACTTGGTTATATATATATATTTTAATTATTTTGTGTGATAGGTTATTATAATATATTGAATATAGTTTCCTGTGCTATACAATAAATCTTTGTTTATTTTATATATGATGGTGTGTATCTATAATTTTATACTACTAATCTATCCCTTCCCCACATTCCCCTTTGGTAACCATAAATTTGTTCTTCTGTATGAGTCTGTTTCTGTATTGTAAATAAATTCTTGTGTACTATTTTTTAGATTTCACATGAAAATGATATATTTGTCTATTTTACTTAGTATGATAATATCTAGGTTAATAGTTGGATAATATCCATCTCTGTTGCTGCTAATGACATTCCTTCATTCTTTTAATGGCTGACTAGTATTCCATTCTCTGTGTGTATGTGTATGTGTACACACCACATCTTTTTTATCCATTCAGCTTGTTGACACTTAGGTTGCTTCCGTGTCTTAGCTGTTGTAAGTAGTGCTGCTATGAACATTGGGGTGCATGTATTTTTTTGAATTAGAGTTTTTGTTTTTTCTGGATAATGCCCAAGAGTGAGATTGCTGGATCATGTAGTAGCTCAATTTTTAGATTTTTAAAGAACTTCTATATTTTTTCCATAGTGACTACACCAATTGGCATTCCTGCCAACAGTGTAGGAGAGTTCCCCTTTCTCCACAGCCTCTCCAGCATTTATAATTTGTATATTTTTTGATGATAGCCTTCGTGACTGATGTGAAGTGATACCTAATTGTATTTTTGATTTGCATTTCTCTGATAGTGATGTTGATTCATGTGCCTGCTGGCCATCTGTATATCTTTGGAGAAGTGTCTGTTTAGGTCTTCTGCCAATTTTTTGATTGGGTTTTTTAGTTTTTGTTACTGAGCTATATGAGCTGTTTGTATGTTTTGGAAATTAAGCTCTTGTTGGTCTCATCGTTGCAAATATTTTTTCCCATTCCATAGATTGTCTTTTCATTTTGATTATGGATTCCTTTACTTTGTAAAATTTTTAAGTTTAATTAGGTCTCATGTTTATTTTTGTTTTTCTTTTTCCTTGTAAGACTAACCTAAGAAAAATTTGTTAAAATTTATTTCAAAGAATGTTTTGCCTATGTTCTCTTCTAGGAATTTTTTTGGTATATCATCTGTATTTAAGTCTTTAAGCCATTTTGAATTTGGTTTTTGTGGGTGGTATGAAGGACTGTTCTACCCTCGTTGATTTACATGCAGCTATCCAGTTTTCCCAATACTTCTTGCTAAAGAGACTGTCTTTTCTCCATTGTATATTCTTGCCTGCTTTGTCAAAGATTAATTGACCACAGGTGTGTGGGTTTGTTTTCTCAGGATTACTTTGGCAATTCTGAGTATTTTGTGATTCCATATAAGTTTTAGGATTATTTGTTGTAGTTCTCTGAAACATGTGGGTAATTTGATAGGCATTGCATTAATCTGTATGTTGCTTTGGATAGTATGGCCATTTTATCTATATTAATTCTTCCAATCCAAAAGTGGGGGATATTTTTCCATTTTTATTGAATCATCTTCTATTTTTTTTGTTAATGTATAGTTCTCAGCATATAAATCTGTTCACTTTCTTGATTGTTTATTCATAGTTTGTTTTTGGATGTGATTTTAAGTGAAATTGTTTTTTACTTTCTGTTTCTGTTATTTCATTATTTGTATGAAGAAATACAGCAGAGTTATGTATGTTAATCTTGTATCCTGCTGCCTTGTTGAATTCATTTATCAGTTTTAATAATTTTTGTATAGTCTAGGGTTTTCTGTATAGAGTATCATGTTATCTGCACAGAATGACAATTTTACCTCTTCCCTTCTGATTTGGATACATTTTATTTCTTTTCCTTGTCTGATTGCTGTGACTAGGAGTTGCAGTTCTGTGTTCAGTAGAAGTGATGAGTGTGTACATCCTTGTCGTGTTCCGGCTTTAGCAAGAAAGCTTTCAGCTTTTCACCATTTAGTATTATATTGGCTGTGGGTTTGTCACAATGACTTTTATTATGTTGATGTATCTTCCCACTATACTCACTTTGGTGAGTTTTTATCATGAATTGATGTTAAACTGTATCAGATACTTTTTTTGCATCTGTTGAGATGATCATGTGGTTTTTGTCTTTTTTGTTGATGTATCAGCTTGATCAATTCACATAGGTTGAACTGTCCTTGTGACCCTGAAATGAATCTAACTTGATTATGGTGCATGATCCTTTTTATGTGTAGTTGGATTCAGTTTGCTAATACTTTGTTGAGGAATTTTGCATATATATATATATATATATATATATATATATATATATATATGTTTGTAAAAGATACCGTCCTGTAATTTTCTTTTTTGTTAGTGTCTTTGTCTGGTTTTGGTGTCAGGGTGGCGGTGGCTTTATAGATGGCTTTGGGAGCATTCCCGCCTCTTTAGTCTTTTGGAAGAGTTTGAGAAGGATTGGTGTAAGTTCTTCTCTATATGTTTGGTGAAATTCCCCAAAGAAGCCATCCAGTCCTGGACTTCTGTTTGCAAAGAGTTTTTTAAATTACAGATTATATTTCACTTGTAGTGATTGGCCTATTTCTTCTTGATTCAGTTTTTGCAGTCTATTTCTAGAAACTTGTCCATTTCTTCTAGGTAGTCCATTTTGTTTGTATGTAGTTGTTCATTATATCTTACTTGATTTTTCTTTATTTCTATGGTATCAGTTATTATTTCTCCTTTTTCATTTCTTATTTTATTTATCTGGGTCCTCTGTCATCTTCTTGGTGAGCTTGGCCAGAGGTTTGTCAATATTGTTTATCCTTTCAAAAACCAGGTCTTGGTTTTCCTGATTTTTCTGCTGTTTTTTAATCTCTATTTTATTTCCTCTCTGATCTTTATTATTTCCTTCCTTCTGCTGACTTTAGGAAGAAAATAATTTTAAAAAATTGAGATTTTTCTTGTTTTTTGAGGAAAGTCTGTATCACTGTGAACTTCCCTCTAAGAATTGCCTTTATTGCATCCCATAGATTTTGTATGGTTATATTTTCATTGTTGTTAATCTCGATTTTTTTTTATTTCCTCTTTAATTTCGTTGTTGATCCATTGGTTTTTAGTGGCATGTTGTTTAGTCTCCATGTAATCATTTTTTAAAATTATACTGCAGGCGTTTTTTAATTTATTCATTTTAATCTTGATCCTGATGGGTCTTTTGTTGCTACACACAGGCTTTCTCTAGTTGTGCACAGGCTTCTCATTTCAGTGGCTTTTCTGGTTGGAGCGCATGGGCTTCTTAATTGCAGTGACCTGTCTTGTTGCACAGCATGGGCTCTAGGGTACATGGGCTTCAGGAGTTGGGCATGAGCTCAGCAGTTGCAGCTCATGGGCTTTGGTACACAGGCTCAGAAGTTGTGATGCACAGGCCTAAGTTGCCCTATGGCATGTGGAATCTTCCCAGACCAGGGATCAAGCCCATGTCCCCTCTGCTGGAACGTGAATTCTTAACCTCTGGACCAACCTCTGGACCACCAGGGAAGTCCCTGCATGTAATCATGGCAGAACCATGCTCTTTTATGTGCACACCCCCAGTTTTGGCCTGGGTCACACTCCAGGCCCTTCAGGCTTCTCCAAACAGCCAAATCGAGTCCAAGTGGTAGAAAGAAAGAAAGAAAAGAAAATGAAGTCACTCGATCATGTCCAACTCTCTGTGACCCTATGGACTGTAACCTGCCAGGCTTCTCCATCCATGGGATTTTCCAGGCAAGAATACTGGTGTGGGCTACCATTTTCTTCCCCTTCAGGAAGATCTTCCTGACCCAGGGATCGAACTTAGGTCTCCCGCATTGTGGGCAGACTCTTTACCCTCTGAGCCACAAGGGAATCCCAAGTGGTAGAACTAAGACAGAAACCCAAACAATCTGACTCCAAAGACTGTACTCTCTTGTATTTTAGTATACTGTTTCTTTATTGAACTGTAATTCTTTTTTTCCTATCAGTGTTATAGAACAGTATCTATTTTTTATTCATTTACATACCTTGTGCCTAGCACCTATAACTTTCAATGGGAAGTTTAAAAGTAAAGAAGATTGTTTCTTAACAGGTTGATAATTATTCAGATGTATTTTTAAGTACCTGGAATCCTATAAGGAAAGAAAAAACTATTGTGATGGGAATTAGGTTTACTTTTAGATTGGTAAGTAAAATATTGTCAGTTGTTGGCTCCATGTTAAGATTTACATGTGGTTTAAATAATGTTTAAGTTTACTCTGGCATACATGTATTTTTTTTTTTCCTCATCAGTTTGGATTTAGGTGGCGAATAGAAAAAGAAGTAATTTCAGGAAAAGGTAATTTTTTTAATTTCAGATTTTAATAGGATACAGTTATTTTGTTACTGAATCGAAGTCATTGGGTAAGGTTATTCCTAATGTGATTGTCTGCAAGATACAAAGTAAAAGTAGAGAAGGTGTGTTAAAGATATATTGCTGACAAAGGTCAAAATATAATCCTTTAGTGGTTTTTACCTTTAGAATTTTTGCTTTTAGGATATTAAGTTGCAGATAAGTAGAAAATGTTTAAAAGCTAAAAGCTTCATTGCAAGGAAACTGTCAGTAGATGAACATCTTTATTAATTTTTGGAGTAATGAGTTGGTATTACTGTATTCTAGTCAAATCTATATTTCTCAAGTAGAAATTAAATATTACTTTGACCCTTATAGAATTTTTAGACAGGCTAGTTTATTTTGAGGAGTCACTGAATTTGAGTCTAAATATTTAGTCTTAGAACAAAAGAACAAACATTTTGTGGACAATCAGTAACATTTTCTATGCATTGTAATCTATTCATGAAATTTTTCTGAAAATGTAGTATCTCTATACTGTCTCATGTTATAAAATTAAGTCTTTATTGGGCATTGCGTTTTAACTGTTAATACTTCTGAAAACTATATAGGAACAAAATTGATTAAGAAGATAAGCTAGTAACTTTAAAATCTCTTAAACTAAAAGGTTCCATTTTTAAATGATAAACATTTATGCCATCAGTGTGTTTATATACATGTTCCATAAATTATAATCAGCCCGAAAGGTACTCTAGAGGAGAAGGAAAAAGAATAATTTTAAAGCTATTTTTTAACTTTTGTTAGCATTGCGTTTTAGTTTGTGCTTTTACCTAATGGAAATGTCTATCACAATTTTAAATTTTTGTAGTTTTATTGAGTGGAATTTTTAAGTCATGGTAAGTAATGCTGCCTTTTAAAAAAAATTGATGGACAGTCTGTAAATTCATATAATTGAAAAAAGTTTTCATTGAGAATGGTAAAGAAAGCCATTTGCTGTGATTCATGAAGTTATAATCTTGTGTTAACGATAGACTAGTTGCTCAGCATATGCAGATTTAATGAAGTATTCATTTGGAATGAGTAAAACAATGCCAGTTTAGAAAAGTTATCAGCCTTTGAACTGATAATTTTAAAAATTCATTTTGTTAATCTCTTTTTATGAAAAGTTCAGACTTGTTCCTGTTGGTACAATTTATTAAGATATAAGTGCTTTTTTTTCAGGTTGTACAAATAAGTTTGATCTTGTCTTTTTCTGTTAAAGTCAATAATTATTGAGTAGTTTTTTTTTTTTTCCTTTTGGATCATCAATATTAGTCCTTTTTTACAGATCTTTTAATATACAGTGAGTATGATAATGTTGATTTTAGTGTCACGTGATTCTAAAGTTTAGAACATCGAGTTTGATTACTTACTCTACTTAATCTCAAAATGCTATAGCACTTTAAAATGTGCTTTAAATGTCATTTTATGCTGGTGCTTAAAGTACCATATATTAATACCTTAAAGTATCAATTTTAATAATGTTGAAAAAGGTTGACCCAGGTACAGTGCATGTACTTTGGAAAATACATTTTTTCTTTTAAGGTATTAGTGAGTACACTTTTTTAGTGCTTCCATTTTCCAAAGTGTGAGATTCCTTCACTCGGAGTCACTAAGACTCTGTATTTAAATATAAACAGTCAGCTTGATAGTAAACTGTTTATCAAGTTAATTCGGAACTGATTTTTTTTTTTTTAAACGGTGCATTCAGCAACTTGATTTGATTGTTGAACATACCATAATTATTGTGGTCAGTTTTTTGACGCTGACTTTATAAACTAAGAATTTATGTTGTGTATGTTATGTATGTTGAGTGAATTTCAGAGATAATGCCTGATTGTAAATAAATATTGTCACCAACCACCATAGCTAATATTCCTTCCTTTATTTGCAGGCCAGTTTTGCTGTGGAAATAAATGTTGTGATGAAAAAGAAGGCTTAAAGAGTTGGGAAGTTAATTTTGGTTATACTGAGCATGGTGAAAAAAGAAATGCACTTGTTAAATTAAGTAAGTTGACTTTAGATGGGTTGTGATTGATTCCTTCAAAGTTTAGTAATTTAGTTTGAAAATATATAAGCAATTTAAGATTCAATTTAAAATGCTTAAGGTATCTTCTTGGAAACTCTTTTTTTCTCAGAGCTTGCTAAAGTTGCAAAGAACTTTTGAGCCTGAAACTTTTTTCTCAGCATTTCTGTGACATTTAGATGAAATAGTTCTAATGCCAAATGTAAACCAGTAATTTGTAAAGTGAAGACCTCTGTCTGTTAATTTGAGAATGTCAGTGTAGACTGAGATGCCAAGTGGGAGTCAGAGTGATATCAGAAATGGCACTGTAAAATCTCACATTAGTTAATAGCCATATTGTTATGGTGTAGATAATAAATCTGCTCTCTTTGTGGCAATAAAGAAAAAAATTTAAGAGGGCAAATTGTTCTCGATATCTGTCTTAAATGCTTAAGATTATAACCCAGAATATAGCATTTTCTCTTAATATGCATATTTTAGAATCTGTTGCTCATCCTTTTTTTTTTTTTTCCTGAGCTAGTCTTTTGTGTCAGCGTCTTCTCTGCATCATGTTAACAACTTTCTCTGGTTCCTAAATAAATGTGCTATTAGAGTGTTCTGCTCCCTCCAGGTAGAGATCAAGGTTTTCCCCATATGCTACTTCAGTTCAGTTCAGTTGCTCAGTCGTGTCCGACTCTTTGTGACCCCATGGACTGCAGCACGCCAGGCGGGCCTCCCTCCCTGTCCATCACCAACTTCCAGAGTTTACCCAAACTCATGTCCATTGAGTCGGTGGTGCCATCCAACCATCTCATCATCTGTCGTTCCCTTCTCTTCCCACCTTCAATCTTTCCCAGCATCAGGGTCTTTTCAAATGAGTCAGTTCTCCTCATCAGGTGGCCAAAGTATTGGAATTCAGCTTCAACATCAGTCCTTCCAATGAATGTTCAGGACTGATTTCCTTTAGGATGGACTGGTTGGATATCCTTGCAGTCCAAGGGACTCTCAAGAGTCTTCTCCAACACCACAGCTCAAAAGCATCAATTCTTCAGTGTTCAGCCTTCTTTATAGTCCAACTCTCACATCCATACATGACTACTGGAAAAACCATAGCCTTGACTAGACAGACTTTTGTTGGCACAGTAACGTCTCTGCTTTTTATATATGCTGTCTAGGTTGGTCATAACTTTCCTTCCAAGGAGTAAGTATCTTTTAATTTCATATGTTACTTAGTACACTCCAATGCAGACTGGTTTCCGAGTTCCTCCTATAAGTGCTTATGAGGAAGAGTCACCTAGTATGAATTGAGATTAAAGTAAAAAAGAAACAACAATTGTGGAACTTTTTCAAAAAGCTCTTTTCCATTTGAAAACTCTTAGAGTACTTCAGAGGAGATGACTATACCTACACTACTGTTACTGGATGTCTTTGATTTGAGATATACATTAATGCTTCCTATGAATGAAACAGTTTGCTTTTAGAATAAATTGACAGCATAGTTTTCTAAAGCAGTGGCAGAATATTTTCAATTTCTCAAGCATCCTAATACAGTTTTTATTTTATATATATATTTTTTGAGGTGGAAGAGAATCAGATTGTTTTCTTCAGTTTATTTTTTTCCCGTTACAATGAAAGAATGTAAAGAAACATGACAGTTTATGATATTAAAAGTAAAGTAGCAGTGCAGTGATAAAAAATTTAGCAGTCCAGTGGTGTTACGTTTTTTTCCTTTTTTTTTTAGGATTATGCCAAGAATGTTCCTTTAAATTAAATTTTCATCACAGGTAATATGATCTTTTAAAATGTGGTTGTTAATTTTAGTAGTCTTGGATGTAGTCATTCCCTGCACTAGCTGTCTAAAGTAAACTTGAGTGGTTGATGTTCATTACTTGAGTGTATACACAATCCAGCATTGCCATATGACCACATAAACCAGGGAACTGAATGTTCATCATACCTAACTCTAGCTAAGCAATGTTAAATGTGAAGGCCTATGCAGAGTAGCAGGCAGATGCTAGAACTTTTGTTTTGAAATCAGTGTTCACATACTGAAATATTCTTAGAAACTATATTGTATATCAGGTCTTTATAATGTGATTCCTACATCTCCTTTAAACAGTGTTTTAGAGTTTATCATTCTTAAAAAGGATTATACCTCTATAATCATTTCAGTTTTTAAAGTCAGGCTCCTACTGAATGAGCTAGACTGTCTGCCATATTGAATAGGGGAGGAGGATCAGTGCTCTGCAACGTGCAGCATATATAGATCATGGGCTTTGAAATCACACCCCTGTATATTCCTCTCAGCTGCTCCACTTACTAGTCATATCCTTGGGCAAACTACTTAACCTTTATAAGACTCAAATTTATTATCTCTAAAAATGAGGATACTAAGCTTATTGTGGGGATTAAATGAAAATGCATATAAAATGCTTGACACAGTGTCTGGCATATGGTAAACAGAGCCTAATGAAATCCCAGGCATTGAAGATGCTCAAGCAAAATCTGTATGACCTGGCATGATTGTGGAGGTTGGGTTTCATGTTCTGAATAATGCTTGAAAGTCTTAACATAAGATTCTGCAACTTTATAAAATGTATATATATTTATAATCAGCTGTGTTGTGAATGACCTTTATCTAGTATTTAGCTATTAAAAATAATTAATTGTTTAATTCTTAAAATTAGCAGTGTTTTCAGATTACATGATTTCTCTTCTCCATCAATGATTCTGAAAGATACCAAAGATGTACTTTTGACCTTGAATTTCGAACTTTATTTCAAAATTGAATTATTCTTATAAGAGACAAAAAGTTATTACTGTCTTAAACAGTATTGTAGTATTTGGTATAAGTATCTTAATTTGAAAGTTTTGATAAACAGCTTTCTTGAAAGTAATCCTCTCTGTTGTCTCTTCATCCTTTTTCCCAGTCTCAGTTTTAGCCTTATCACCTTTTCCTATTTCATGTTTCTTTTCTTTGTCGTTCAGTCTCTCAGTCATGTCCGATTCTTTGTGACCCCGTGGACTGCAGCACGCCAGGCTTCCCTGTCATTCACCATCTCCCAGTGTTTGCTCAAACTCACATCCTTTGAGTTGGTGATGCCATCCAACTGCCTTATCCTCTGCAATTAAAATCAATCACTTGCCAACTATGGTACTGACAGCCTTATAAACCTGGCCTAAAAAAAATAAGGGGTTTCCAAGGTGGTTCACTGGTCAAGAACCCACCTACCAGTGCAGGAGACACGGGGTTGATCCCTGGGTCTGGAAGATCCTCTGGAGTGAGAAATGGCAACCCACTCCGGTATTCTTGCCTGGGAAATCTCATGGACCAAGGAGCCTGGCAGGCTACAGCCCATGAAGTCACAAAAGAGTGGGACAAAACTTAGTGAACAACAAAAAAACGTAAAGCTGTAGCAGTGAAAAGATAAGTGGTATAAAGTAGACGTGTGAGTTAACAGTAAGCCCTTCCGTTCTCATTCCATTATACCTCTATTTTATTCTCCTTTATTATTAAGAGAATGATTTTCTATTTACTGGTTTAGAGCTGTACAGTGGCTTCTTTTGTTCTATGTGTTTTTTCAAAGTGTAGGTAGATAATTATGTGGAGGGAAATGAGATTTGTTTTTGTAATTTTTTAGAATGGCTAAATGATAGGGTCACAGAGTCAGACACGACTGGGTGACTGAACAACAACAAAATGATAGAATCTAAAAAGGAAATGAGTAAAACAATGATTACATTAACTAAGGTTTTATATAAAACTTATAAAAAATAGTTTTGTCTCCAAGTGCTAATTACCTTATTTTTGTCTCAGTCTTCGTAATCTTATAGAAGTGGCTAAAGTAATATACTAACCTGCAATATTTACACTCATTTAAGCATTTCTTGTTATGTAAATTACATTTTAAATGAATACTTCAACTAATTTAACTTTTTTTGCCCATTGATTTTTATTTTTTGCAAAGCTTAGTTGAAAAAGTTATTTTTAATTTTATATTGTTCAACATAAAGGAGAAAAGAAGTCAAGTCAAAAAAAAGAAAGGATAAAGCCAAAAAAGATTCTGAAGAGTCAACACATAAAAAATCCAGATTATCTTCTGTAAAAGAGACCTCTAAGAAAAAGGATAAAGGTAAATGGGAATTAAAATATAATATTTACTCATATTTCTGAACATAAAGGATAGTCTGCCATATGTCTCAAATTAAGAGTTTAATTAGTAAATGCATTTACAATTCTGTTTTATAGTATTTGAAAGGAAACTGGAGAATTTAGAGACAAATTTTATAGTAATTTATAGAAGTTGCAAGAACAAGGTCAGTTTTGATTCATTTTTGCAAATGGTGTAATATTGTAACAGCACTCTGATTTCTGGATTTGTTAGTTATAGACATGTTACATTAAGCAAGTCACTGAATTTCTTGAGTTTTACTTTCCCCATACACCTACATAGTGATGATGTGACTGCCTGGTTTCTGTACTGCTGGTGCTTATGGTGGAGAGTCAAATAAGAACATGAAAGGCACTTTGAGCACTGTACATCAGTACATAATCTATAGGTCAGTATAAAATTATAGCATTGTGATTTCAATGATCATGTTCTGTTTGATTTTTCTCCCTAGCTAATGGGCTTCTCAAAATGATAGAGATTGATATGTATGTGTCCTCAGAACCTAACATGGTATTGTGCACATACAGTTAGTAAGTAATTGTTAAATTCAAATCCAAGTCAACTGCTTACTTGTTCCTCAGCAGTCCTTAAGCTGTGCCTTAGTTTAGACAGTGGTCATGATAATTGTACCTTAGCTCAGATAATGTATGTAAGCCATTTGCATAGTACTTGGTACCTAGTTTTAATGAAGGTTGCTGTGGGTTGTTTTTTTCAGTCCGTAATAGAGTCAAATTAACTGTAACTTAGAGTGAATTGGACTAAATTAGGTAGGTAATGGTAGATTGAATTAGATCTGGGTAGTGTTAACATAATACTTGAACAGGAGAGGGCTCCCTTGCTCCAGCTATGATCATTAGACATGTTATATTATGTACATCTTTTCCTACCAGCATGTCATGATACATTCAAACATACAGTATTGCCAAGTTTTAGACTTGGTAAAATTGATGGATAATGAGAAGAAAAATACTGGTATTCTACTGTTTATTGAGAAATGGTATTGAAACAGAATGTCTTTTTTGTCTATAAATCATGTTCTAAACTTCAAAATAAATTTTAATTAATAAATGTGAGAATCTCATTTGAGATTTAAAAGTTTTTTATTTATCCTCATGTGCCAGTAAAATATTTAATGTATTATATTTGAAGATTTTGTAACATTCATTGTTATATATTTATGTCATAATATGACATCATGTTAGTCATTGCATATTCCAAATTAAAGAATTAATCCCTACAATGTAAAGTTTATTCAGTACCTCCAAAATAGGTAATTAGGTAGCTGGATACTCGTGACTAAGGATGAGGTTGCATCCCTCAAGTTATATATTCATGTGATCTTCCTTAGAAGATGTTTTTCCTTTAGTGTTCTGTATTTCAGTAGCTGATACGTCTGTCAACCTAAAAGCTAACATCAGAAGTCTGGAAATTATCCTTGTGTGTGTCAGTTGCTCAGTTGTGTCCATCTGTTAGCGACCCCACGGACTCTAGCCTGCCAGACTCCTCTTTCCATGTTTATGTAAATCCCATCAGTTTTACCCCAGGTTACGTATTTCTCAAGTTTTCTCTGCTCTCGTTCAAACTAACCATGTGTTCTCATCTAGGCTACTACTATATTATCCTTACTCTTTCCACCACTGTCTTGTCATCCCACCTCCCTTCTCTTAATCCATTCTCCATCTAGAGTGATTTCCTGTTGTTCTTAATAGGTAACCAGCGTCTGGACAAAGCCCAAAGGGTCTAAATGATCCAGCATACAGGGCTTGTTTCTCACTACTCTTCATGTTACTTTCACACTCCACCCACATAGCCTTTCAATTTCTAGAAAATGCCAAACTTCTGTACATTTAAGGACTGCATAGATGCTGCTTCCTCTCTCTAAAACCTCCAGGCCCATCCTAACTCATGCTTCAGTTCTAAGCTTAAATGTCACTTCCTCAGGGATCCTTCTCTGACCACGAATCTAAATTAGGACTCCCATTTATAATGCTGTCACAACTCTAGAACTTTTCCCTCATTACACATATGACAATTATATAAAAGCACAAAGAGAGCAGGAATTCTGTCTGCTGTGTTCATTGCTCTGTCCCCAGCACCCCACTAGCACATGTTATGCATAAATAATAAAGAATAAGAAAATTTCAGAGACAGAAAACCCAAGCAAAGTGGAATTGAGACATCTTTCTTATTTACTCTTTATTTGGAGCATCTTTGATAGAGAGTATTGGCTATAGTTCTTTCTTTTTCAGCTTTGGTATGAAGCAGAAAATGACAACATTTTATCAGACTTTAGGAGGACCATATAAACCTCTTTAATATCTTTTTATTGATATTTGTGATTGATCATCTGTAACTAGGTTCATCTTGATGTGATACTTTCCTGCCAGGCCACCTTAATGTGTCCCAAACTTGAATAGTAATTAATAAATGCTTAATATCTCAGCTGCCTTTGGACTGCTGACATTCCTCAAAGCACCCTACTTTCTTGACTTTTCTTCCTATCTTTTTGATCTCTCCGCAGCCGTTTTAGACTATAGTTTCTCCTCAGTCTTACCCTTAGGTGTTGGGATTGCTCAGGGCTCTTACAGACCTTTTTTCTCTCTGTTCTCCCTGTGTGATCCTGACAACTCCCATCACTCAGGTTACCATTATACAGAATGTTAATTAGGTAGATGGGTAGATAATTGGATGGCTAGATAGCTGAACCAACAGATTGAGAAAATGTAAGAAAGATCAATAACTGGACTTTGAGGACCAGTCTCCTTTGGCAGGTATGAACACAAAGGGATATTTAGGTAAACTGTCTTGGCAGAAAGTTCAAGATCTTATTCCTCCACCTCCATCCTGCCCCCAAGATCAGCTCCTTGAGTAGGCCTTGTCTGATTCCTTTCACTCTGCTTTTCCAGGCAAGGCTAGTTCCCTGTTAGCACATTCTGATAGCACCCTGCACTCTCCTTTAGAAATACATACCACTCTTGGAATAATTTATTTTCTGTTAAGAAAAGGACTGTGTGACTTGTTTAATTCTTTATCCCCAGTTCGTAAGCACAGTGCTTGCTCCCCACAGTAAGTATTCAGTAAATGTTAGGTGAGTGAGTCAGTGAAGTCAGCCAATTTCTTTGTTGCAAGGAACATCAGAAATGAGCCCTGGAAATCATGATTGAAAAGATATTCTATGGTTTAGCCTTTCAAAATATGGTCCTCTGCATTATCATCACTTGGGAGCTTGTTAGAAATGTATAACCTCAGACCCTTGCAGATCTCCTGAATTACAGTTGACTTCAGGTTCCCAGGATGACTCATATGCACAATAAAGTCTTCGATGCTCTGCTCTTTATCATGTACTTGTTCTGCCTTAGCTTTAACACCTCCAGAGAAAAAGAACCCATTATCCAAAATATTCCTTTACATTTCAGATAGTTGTAATTGCTAGCAGGTTTTTCTTAATATTTAATCCAAACCTACAACTTCTTCCTTTTGGTTCCAACTGTGTGCCTTTTTTAAGATAATAGACACTTGGGAACAGGTATCATGTTCCTTACATGACATAGAGGAGCATGTTTCTTTTGCTACAGGAGGACTTACCATGTTTTTATTTGTTCTCTGATGGCTGGAAAATAAGTAGGAGTAAAGAAACAATAACATAAAGCACTTGGCGGCAGTCCAGGTCTTGCTTTTCTTTGGAATCTTTATCCTGTGCCTCTCACACCCTCTTGTCTGGCCTTAAGGGATCATTCTTGTGACAACTTGGACTAGTTAAGAGATCTACCCAGAGAGGTGGGCTTCCCTAAAAGCTCAGTTGATAAAGAATCCACCTGCAATTCAGGAGACTCCAGTTCAATTCCTCGGTCAGGAAGATCTGCTGGAGAAGGGATGGGCTACCCACTCCAGTATTCTTGGGCTTCACTTGTGGGTCAGCTGGTAAAGAATTCGCCCTCAATGCAGGAGACCTGGGTTCGATCCCTGGGATGGGAAGATCCTCTGGAGAAGGGAAAGACTACCCCCTCCAATATTCTGGCCTGGAGAATTCCATGGACTGTATAGGCCATGGGGTTGCAAAGAATCAGACACGGCTGAATGACTTTCACTTTCATCCAGAGAGGTTGGAGGAATTGGTACTCCATCTGTTATGTTCTTTTCTGACTTAGCAGGCTTCAGAAATATTTCCCCTGAGGTCTTCCAGCAGGACACTGTATATATAATTTTTTTTTTTTAATTCATCTTCAGTACTTTTCTGTTTCTCTCACTGGGTAACCATTGTGGAACTCAAATGTTTTATGACATAATTTTTTCTGTGATTTTCAGTTACTGTGAATTCTTACCTGTATATGATCTTCAAAAAAGTATTATGAAAAACTATTTATTTGTAAACTGCTCTTGAATGTTGAAAATCTGTAGATAAAATGTTGGTTATATTGTAGGTAATCTGTGAGCTTTTTTCCCCAGTAGCAGCATGAGATATTTTTTATAGGTGTTTATTATTTTTTAAGTTTTGTGCTAGGTATTCCAGCCTGTACAAGAGCATAAAATACCCCTGCCTAAAAGGACCTAACATTTTAATTTGGGAGATAAGTCAAAGGAACAGGGAAGATTAGAAGACTTTGAAGTGCTTTCCTGAAAGACTATAAAGTAAAGTTTACTAGACTATAAAGTTGACTAGAAAGTAAACTAGACTACTTGGAAGAATTCTGGTTATAGCTATGGCTGTTATACCACTGCGAAGTGATTCTTGACGAAACAGTGCTGTTTTTTTTTGTTTTAATCACGTTCATTTTTTTGTTTTCCCCAGCGCATTCATCCTCAGTGAAATCAGAAAGTTCTGTCAACAGTAAGTATCAGGTTTTTATTTAATAAAAATATATAGATTCAAGTTATTTGCAATTTGTGTTTCCCATAAACTGTGACTTGTCCTGTAATTTTTTTCCTACTGTATGAGAAAAATCATAGGAAAAAAACAAAAGTGTATTTCTTCCCCAAATTAAAGCATTTAAAAGTTTCTGATTTCAAGTATAGAAGAGCACAATTTTTTTTTTCCAGTAAGTAGAATGGATACACATTTTGATTTCACATTATAGAGTGTGAAGGAAGAGAACCAAAGGGATAAGATTGGGATAGAAAAAGAATTGGGGAGATGGATTCACATTTAAGAAATGTTGCTTATATTGTACAAGAGTGAGTGATCTGTCATTTGGTGATTTTGATTAATCAAATTAAATATCTCTGTTTTGTGCATAGAAAGCAGAATGTTAGCAACTGGTTATTACTGGTCAACTTTTTAATAAGTCCTACAGTTTTCACCAGATTGGATTTCATTGAATATTTGCTGCAAATCTTATTACTGTTTTTTTCCCTGCAGCATTCCAAAAAGTATTCACAATGGTTTACAATAAAATAATATTTTTTTTAAAGGTGAAATCAAAATAATGGAAAAATAAGGTAGCATAGGAAAGTAAAGCTAGAGGTAAATTTAATACAGAGAAATGTTTACCAAAAAGTCTTGCATAATTGCAAAGGTAGATCACAAATTTGTCACTGTTCTTCCTAACAACCAAACCAAAGAAAGGACAGTAGAATGATTAATTGTACCCATCCAATATTAAAGAGAACTCACCGGGTGTTCAGCTTTTTCCAGGCAGTTTTGAGAGCAGAATCTCCTGTGGGTTCATAAAAGGGGGACATCCATTTGTGATATAACAAACAGTAATCTTGCATCTCAACAGTAATACAGTCTCAAATTTCTTTAAGACCTTACAGTAAATAGGCTTAGGGTCTAAAAGTAAAATGTACTTTAATAGAATACTTAATTTATTTGATAGTATCTAGACGTATAGAAATTCATAGATTTGAGACTTCTCAGCTTACTTGTAAATTTTTAAACTTTAAGAAGTTTTTTTTCTGATTTGCAAGAAATATGTCTATGTGGCAAACTCAGGAAGTAATTACTCTAAATCCCACCTTTCAAATTAAGTATTAGCATTTTAGTATATAATTCTTAATGGGAATTTTTAAGTGTTCAGTAATCAGAAATTTTTTTAAAATAAAATTTTTAAGATATTCATTGTTTAAAAATTTACTGAAGAGGGAGATATCAGTGGAGGCATTGCTCTAGTTTAGGAATACAACATATTCTTTATAAATTATTTTCCTCACACCATTTTGTTTTCAACATTTTTGAAGTGTCATAAAGCAATGATACTTCCCTTCTTCTCATGTCAATCCTAACGTATCAGTAGCTGCTGCTTCTAAATTAGGTTAAGTTTCCTGACAGTGTATAGAACATAGCCAGGCATGTTAAGCTTATCTGAGGATGGAGTAGTAAGTATATATATTTTTAGAAAGCATAACAAGTTAAAATGGGAAAATTTTTAGTTTTTGCCTATTTCCAACTATACATTGCAGTCAGAGGTGTGAAGTCCAATTTAATGTAGAAAAAAAGATTGTCCTTTTCCAATTCCAGTTTTTCATTATTAAAATAATCTTTGGGGGAAAGGTCTTTACTTGCCATTTATATTCATTTATATTCATTCTTTCATTTTGTCTTAATTCCTTCTCCCTCCCACTGTCCTTCTCTCCCCCGCCGCCACCCCGCCGCCCAGCTCTCTCAATCCTCCCTCATTTCCCAGGAATAGCTTTAAGTCTGTTAACTCTCCTCAGCTAGGTCAGACTTCTGTTGTACGGAGGGGAAAATACTGTAGTCAATCTGAACAATATCTGCATTATCTTGGTTCTTGAAGTAGTACCATTTCAAGTAGGAGACAAGTACCTTGTTAGGGTTTGTCAAACCCAGAATCTTCTCAGGTTGTCAGTGACCTGTCTTAGGTGGTCTTGTCAATTTTAGAACTCAAATTTTGCTGTTTCTGTATTTCATTTCCATTTGGGTAATATTCAGTTACCCTTTTACCCCCTTGTAACATATTGATTGTTAAAACCAAGTCTAAAAAGAAAAGCCCAGTTTCTATGGGGAAAAAATTGTAACCTGCTTTTGTTAATTGTCTTAATCACAAGTGGTTTAGTTGTGTACCACATTTAATTTTAGTAATGGACACATAATATCCCATTTTGTAGATAAAAGCAAGACCCAGAGAATTTACATAAATTGCCTGAGGTCAGATAGCTGATTAATGGCAGAGCTATGATTAAACACAGGTTTATAACACCAAAGTGTATGTCCTTTTAGCTGTATCATCAGAAACTTTCATCAGTGAAGTGAGTCCACTCTTATAGCCCAGTTTTGACACATATATTATACAAATTCACATTAAAAGATTTGGTCTGTGTCTCAGTTCTGTCTGTAAAATGGATGTAAAGAGGCTTGACATGACTGGATTATTATCAGAGTCAAGTGAAATAATAGACATGTAAAGCATGTTCTAATATGAAGTAAGTCTTTGATAACTTGTAGTTATTGTTATACCAGAGAAAAAGAAAATACTAGACATTAGATTTTGTGTTTGTTTTCTGCAATAGGTCGGATCAAAAGTCTGTAACAAAGTCTGACCTGTCTATTGTTTTCATAGTTAGAGACTTGCCACTTCTTCAGTAGGCTAAGTTATTTAGGGTATCATAATATCCAGAAAAACCAAGATGATATACCTGCTTTTATATTCAAAGCATGTAGGGAAAATTATATGCAGTTTACATTACATTCTAAAAGGAACATTGAAAACTTAAAGCAGGTCAAGAATAGAATAACCAGTGTTGCCAGAACTTGAAATGTTTTTATAGGAAGAAGGTCGAAGGAGCCTTAGATGTTTAGCTTAGAAAAAAGTGAAGAGGAAAGGGGTAAGGAGGTAGACATTGAAACTGTAGATATTTGCAAGACTGCTACTATGTAGGAGACTTATTTTTGGTGGCTGCTTGGCAGAACTAGAGTCTGGATAAAAATAGCCCATGGACAGATTTTTGCCTTAATTTAAGGAAAAACTTGTCAATTAGAATTATCTGAAGAATGGAATGGAGGAATGGGCTGCATCAGGAAGCAGTGAGGTGTTTAAGTGTAGATTAAACAGCCACTTGTTACTGCAGTCATTACAGTAAGATGTTCATTCATTGGTTAAGAGGTGGACCTCCAAGCTCCCCTTCCAACACAGAATCAGTGACTTAAATTCTGATCGCCAGTTGCCAATAATTACTGTGTAGATTTGGTGCTGATGCAAATGCAAGCATCTGTTTTATGTTGCCCAGTCTTCTAATTGTTATTTCCTTATCAATATCATTCCCACCTCTGGCAGGTTGTAGCAGTTATCAAAGAAGTGATTTGTAGTTTCTGTCACCCTCAGGGAACTAGGTATTTTAGATTCATGTATGTGTATGTGTGTGTACATGCACATGTGCTCAATCGTGTCCAGCTCTTTGCAACCCCATGGGCTGTAACCCTCAAGGTTCCTCTGTCCATGGAATTTTCCAGGCAAAAATACTGGAGTGGGTTGCCATTTCCTACTCCAGGGTATCTTCCTGACCCAGGGATCAAACCCGAGTCTCTTGCTTCTCCTGCACTGGCAGGAGGATTCTTTACCACTAGCGCAACCTAGCAGTTATATTATTATAGATTCGTATGTCTCCTGCATTAGCAGGCAGTTTCTTTACCACTGGCACCACCTGGGAAGCCCTCATAGGGCTAAAAGGGACCGTCAGTCTTGTAGAATTTGATTCTCTAAGAATATTTGATCACTTTTCAGCATGTCCTCTTATCAAAGAGAGTTATTTTATAATGTTATTCTAAACCGATTGTATTTTTTTAGTAAAACTGGATTGTCTGATAGCAGAAAGCTGGTTTAGGAAAGCTTGCATATGATAAGTACTCTTAAGAGGAAACAAGAGAACAGCTGGTGGTAAGGCCTTTTGAAATTAGCTGTCCACTTTCAAAAGCCTGGTAGGTTTGTTCTCTGACATCTTTAACAGGATAACACCATGGTGATAACCTAATTAGTTTTTCTGTGCTTTTGTTAGCTCAGTTTCAGTTTCAGTTCAATTGCTCAGTCATGTCCGACTATCTGCGACCCCATGAACCGCAGCACACCAGGCCTCCCCGTCCATCACCAACTCCCGGAGTCCATCCAAACCCATGTCCATTGAGTTGATGATGCCATCCAACCATCTTATCCTCTGTCATCCCCTTCTCCTCTTGCCCTCAATCTTTCCCAGCATCAAGGTCTTTTCAAATGAGTCAGCTCTTCGCATCAGGTGGCCAAAGTATTGGAGTTTCAGCTTCAACATCAGTTCTTCCAGTGTACACCCAGGAGTGATCTCCTTTAGGATGGACTGGTTGGATATCCTTGCAGTCCAAGGGACTCTCAAGAGTCTTCTCCAATACCACAGTTCAGAAGCGTCAAGTCTTCAGTGCTCAGCTTTCTTTATAATCCAACTCTCACATCTGTACATGACCACTGGTAAAACCATAGCCTTGACTAGATGGACCTTTGTTGACAAAGTAATGTCTCTGCTATTTAATATGCTCTCTAGGTTGGTCATAACTTCCCTTCCAAGGAGTAAGTGTCTTTTAATTTCATGGCTGCAATCACCATCTGCAGTGATTTTGGAGCTTAGAAAAATAAAGTCAGTCACTGTTTCCACTGTTTCCCCATCTATTTGCCATGAAGTGATGGGACTGGATGCCATGATCTTCGTTTTCTGAATGTTGAGCTATAAGCCAACCTTTTCACTCTCTTTCACTTTCATCAAGAGGCTCTTTAGTTCTTCTTTACTTTCTGCCATTAAGGGTGGTGTCATCTGCATATCTGAGGTTATTGATATTTCTCCCGGCAATCTTGATTCCAGCTTGTGCTTCTTCCAGCCCAGCATTTCTCATGATGTACTCTGCATAGAAGTTAAATAAGCAGGGTGACAATAGACAGCCTCGACGTACTCCTTTTCCTATTTGGAACCAGTCTGTTGTTCCATGTCCAGTTCTAACTGTTGCTTCCTGACCTGCATACAGGTTCTTCTCAAGAGGCAGGTCAGTTGTTCTGGTATTCCCATCTCTTTTCAGAATTTTCCACAGTTTATTGTGATCCACACAGTCAAAGGCTTTGGCATAGTCAATAAAGCAGAAATAGATTTTTTTTGGAACTCTCTTGCTTTTTCGATGATCCAGTGGATGTTGGCAATTTGATCTCTGGTTCCTCTGCCTTTTCTAAAACCAGCTTGAACATCTGGAAGTTCTCGGTTCACATATTACTGAAGCCTGGCTTGGAAAATTTTAAGCATCACTTTACTAGTGTGTGAGATGAGTGCAAATGTGCAGTAGTTTGAGCATTCTTTGGCATTGCCTTTCTTTGGGAATGGAATGAAAATTGACCTTTTTCAGTCCTGTGGCCACTGCTGAGTTTTCCAAATTTGCTGGCATATTGAGTGCAGCACTTTCACAGAATCGTCTTTTAGGATTTGAAATAGCTCAACTGGAATTCCATCACCTCCACTAGCTTTGTTCGTAGTGATGCTTCCTAAGGCCCACTTGACTTCACATTCCAGGATGTCTAGCTCTAGGTGAGTGATCACACCATCGTGATTATCTGGGTTGTGAAGATCTTTTTTGTTAGCTCAGTTAGTGAATTTTCGTAAAAATAAAGAGCAGGAGACTTTTGTCTTTTTCAAATATTGTTTTGGGACATTGGTAGTTCCAGTGCTGACTGTCATTGAGTTGGTGGTGCTAGTGTTAAAGAAACTGCCTGCCAATGCAAGAGACATATGAATCTATAATATCTAACTAATAGATTGCACTAGTGGTAAAGAATCCTCCTGCCAGTGCAGGAGAAGCAAGAGACTAGGGTTCCATCCCTGGGTCAGGAAGATCTCCTGGAGTAGGAAATGACAAAGCTTACTCCCAAAGCTTTATAATTTTATCATCTTTGTGTGTAGATCATTAGAAGTATGACCCCTCCCCCTACCTTTTTTTTTTTTCTTTTTTCCCCTGTTTTTGTTAGAATTTGTGCTAGAATCAGTTAGGACCAAAGTTCAGACACACATGTTGATTCAAGGATCAAAGTCTAACAGGTAAAAAGCTAGAATCACCATGGCAAATCAATGCTGCTTTATTTTTGTGTTGAGTTTAACTAAAGGACATTATATATTGACAAGACAAATTGGTGTCAGTTCTTTTCCAGACTAATGGTCATTATTGGAGAGGAATTATTTACTAGCATAATTACTTTGTGGCATATAATTTTATTGTCTCATGATATGTGTTGCAGTATTTGATAATTTTTAGTTGATTAGTATAAGGTGGTTCATTTGAAACATCTGTTTTGTTGTATTTAAAAAATACAAGTATCTTTATTGTTTTTAATGATCTTTAAAGGTAATGCATGGTTATTGTTTAAAATAATAATAAAAAAATTTGGAAGTGCCTAGAGAGTAAAAATATCCCAGGTCCACATGTAATATAATCACTGTTAAGTTTGGTTATTCCTTACAAACATTATTTATATATATTATATTATATATATAATATAATATATATATGTAGATATAATGTTTTAATACATATTGTATTATACTATACATGCTTTCTGTAACTTTTACAAATTTTGATATAACATACATATTTGCTCTATCACAGATATGCTAATGGTTTTGGTTTTTTTTAAGGGTTTTTTTTTTTTTTTAAACAGCCGTATAGTATTTATTTAACCAAATCCATAATCCCTAATTGGTGGGGATTTAAGTTGCTGTCTTTTGTTGTTGCTGTTATACAATGAACATCTTCATATATACATATATATATTTTTGAGGAGCTTGTTTATGCTAATAAATTTCTTAAAGCAGCATTGCCAGTCAAGGGTTTAAAGTGATCTATATTTCCAGATTTTCCTCAAGGAAAGGATATTTCCTCTCATACACATAATAGTGTATGAGAACATCTGTTTCTTCATTGAATTGGACTTCTAGTTAATGTAATCAGCATTAATTTTTTTTAAATCTGACAAATTTTTTTTTCATAATTTTACTAGCTAGTCCTGTATACTACTAGTTCAGTTCTTGAGGTCTTGATCCTAATGTAAATATATCTCTACAAAAATCTTAACCTGTATGTCTTTTGTATGATCAAGAAAAGGAAAAAACTAAGTTAAAGACAAATGATATGCAAGAGGTAATATAACTTAATTCTATATCCCTTTACAATATAGAGTTAATATTGGAATTGTTACTTTAACTCACTATAACTTAGAGAAGTTTCCCATGAGACTTTAAATCCTTGGTCTGTTTGCTGAGGCTCTTTGGTATATCTTAGCTTACTCTTTTTCAAAAGAATTTATTACTCTGGAAAAGTGAATTAAATTTTCAGAGAGCCATAAAAATTGAAGCTAAACCACAGTTAAATCCAAAGTTAATTGCATTATTGGTGGATAGTTAAAAATGTGTTTTAAATTTAATATGCACATTTTTTTAAAATCTGTTTTAAATAAACAGGAGACTCTGATGAGGAAGAAAGTGCTTCAGAGTCTGAACTTTGGAAGGGCCCACTACCAGAGACAGATGAAAAATCACAGTAAGTCTTGATGTTAATAGAAAACAATATTGCATACCTTCTACAATCAGTCTAGAAAGCTATGACCACTGCCATTTTTGATAACTTAATGAAAAATTTAGCATCATGAATGTTGATTTAAAGCCAAGGACCATGAGATCAGAGTTTATTCCCAGTGATTGTTTATGGCCACGAATAGCCAACTTACCCAGCTCCCTCTTCGTGAGTAATTCTTTCCTCATCTCCCCTTAACAGATGACCCCCTAGACTTCACTTAGGTTCTGTTTACTAACTTCTAGAGCCTATCCATGATGTTCTGATTATCATAAACCTGTACAGGAGAATTCCTCAGAGATATATATGGTGTCAGAGTTTTCTTGCTCCCAAAGACAGACAACACATACATTGTTCTCTGTTATTGGTTGGAAGAGCTGTTGGAATATAGGCTGGAATATTATCAGCTCTTATATACTGGGATGTTCACCACTTGAGCTTTATCTGTTGAAAGAGGATAAAATAATACCGACTACATAGTTTATTGTGAAAATTTAATATAATTAAGAATATAAAGCACCTGGTATAATACCTGTGAATATAATAAGTGCTCAATAAATTTTAGTCCCATTTTGTTAATCCAGTCTTATTAGTTCATAATAAGAGATTTGAATCAGTCATAATTCGCTAACTTAAGTTGATGATAAAACATCTTGCTAATTGTATAATATGTTCTCAGTGTAATAGAATTCAAGTATGTTGGAAAGGGGACTTTAAAAAAAAAAAAAAGATTGTTTTCTATGATCTTTTTTTTTTCTTGCCAAATAAGAATTCCAATATGAGTGGTCATTATAGATCAGATTTCTAAAAAGGTATTGCTATCCTAGTCAAACTATTAACTGAACTTTTGATCATAGAATTTCCCCTTGAAGAGCTGAAAATGAAAGAATAGGTCTCAAGAGTCCACTCACCCTTATGGCAGTAAAGATCCATAAGTAAAGCCTAAGAGGGGTTCCATAATCCAGAGCTCTTTCGTGACCTTATAAAAACTTGACATCATGTACTAACATCTGAGTACACAGAGGTCCAGCTGATTTCATACATCTAAGTTCTTATTACAGTTTTAAAAATTCAGCTGCATTTTGCTGTCACATGCTTGGGAAAAGGGACAGTAGTATGGAGAATACCAAATTGTAGGTAATTCTTAAATCAACTGTATCTGATTCTGTAAATTTTTTTTTTAATATGAACATGGCTGTGGGGGTTTTATCCGTCACAGTCACTTTTTTTTTTCCCCCCGTCACAGTCACTTAAAATTATGGAGTCTCATTGTGAATTTCTAATCTAAAAGAACATTTTCTAAAGAGATTGGTAGGCAGAATTTGTGTAGCTTGATTCTCTGTTCCCAGAAGGAAGAAAAGCAACTGTACATACGCTTAATCTTCACCACAGCTCTTTGAGGAAATGTAATGTTCTTTATTATATAGATAAAGAAACTAAGCCCAGAGAAGTTAAATAACTTGCTTACCTAGCTAGTAGCTGACAGAGCTAGGACTTAAATACTGTCTTGACTCGAAAACCTGTGCTATTTTCATTGTACTGCTCTGGGCTCTTACCACTAATATTTATTTAGTACTTTAATTTTCATATTTTAATATATTATAGTTTAGTATCTCCTTTCAGAGTTCTATTCTTTTAGATATAATCTTCACTGCTACAAATACATATTTACTCTTCTCAGAGTAATAAAACCTGCAGCCTAAGCAGATCGTCCCTATTCTTAGGACTTGTATTTTTCCTTAAAATAGTTTTTTCATTAATTTGAAATGAGAATGAACAGAGTAATAAAGTCAACCAAGAACGGAGTAAGTAATAAAGTCAACCAAGAACATAAAGAGAAGCATGATATAACACGAAGTACTTCAGAGTAAAATCTTAGGTATAAATATGTGTAGGGATACATGCCACCACATACAACACTTTAATCAGTCTGAGCATAGTTACGATTATTTTAGAAGCCAAGAATTACTTGATAGCTGAATCATGAAATATATATATATATAAAAGAACCAGCAAGTATGCTGGTTTGAATTACCTTAATTTCATATAATGTGTCACCTAGTAATTTTTTTCTCTGTTGATTTTAATCAATATGTATACTTTTTCTTTTAAATAGGGAAGAAGAATTTGATGAATATTTTCAAGATTTATTTTTGTGAAATGAAAAAGGGATGCCTACATTCCTTAATGCAAAGTGTACTTTGAAATTCTTCACAAAAGTTTTGTCTACAAGTTGCAACTTCAGTGGTTTGTCTTTGGAAATAAAAAATCCATCTAGGATGGATTGTCAGATGCTTTGGAAGTATTTTCAGTTCTTTTGGAGATACTTTTCCCTATCTCATATATTTTTTCAGTTTCTTACCTACAACTGTGTTCCATCTGTAGCTCAAGGATGGACCTAGTACACTTCACAGAGATCCATTTTTCCTATTTTTATGGGTTTTTATTTTTTCCCCACTGATTTCACATTTATTTTCCCTTGCCTCAATTAGTTTATTTAAACTTTTAGGGTTATTGGGGTCTTACAAAATTATAAGGTAGATTAATTATGTCTTCAACTTCTTTACTTTCCTTTGACAAATGGCACCCATCTTGAGAACCTGTTTTTTCATTAGCTACCTTTTCTTTTTTTCCTTACATTTCTCTTCCTTCTTGCCTCTGCCACATAAGGGAGTTTGTTATAATATGATATTAATTCCCCAGTGTATGGGTAATTTATTATAAAGTAAATGAGTAGCACAGGAGGCCAAATGAGATCCCAGTAGTCTAAAGCAGCGTGTGTTCATGTAAGTTGACTCTCCAGTAAAGATTATGCAGTAATATAATTTAACTGAACAATGCTGTGTGCATAGAGCTTGTCTCAGATACAGTCATACATAATGGATATATGCAGAGATACATTATAAAATGTAACTTAATTTGGGGTTCATATGCCCAGGAGTCAATGGATGTGCTTCAAGAGATCTAAACATGCCTACAGTCGATGTGCAAACTTTCATGATTGTGTGTGTTTTAGGGGGAAAGGATCCATAGATTTCATCAAATTTTCAAAAGGATTTATTGATTTTTTTCCAAAAGGTCAGACCCATTTTTATAAACAGCAAAGAGGTGAAGAGTGGAAAAGATGCATGATTTGGTGAGTAAGAGAGGACCTATAGAAAACAGGTATTTTGTTGAAAATTAAATGACATTTAAACATGGAATTATTAGCATTAAACTGTACAACAGGTAATTATAGTATCTTATTTTTAAATAGTATCAGATTTTCCTTTTATTAAAGTTATTATTCATTATTAGATCAGTGTTATACATGAGACACTGTGCTAGACATTGCTACCAAGGAAGTAGCTAGGAAATGGTTATTTCTAAAGCATCAGAAAACAGTAAATCAGTGTTGATAACCAACAAATAAATAGTTTGTTGTGTCTTTTTCTTCACACTACTTTTAGTGAAAAAAAATCTTGATTTTGGAGGAAAAAGTATTGAAATATCCAGCAGGAAAACTGATGTTATTAATAGAATATATGAAGCCAAAACATTTTTATGATAAAAATTAGTAGTCATCAGAATATAAAACTCCTGCAAAACTAAACAATGACTGGGAAGAATATTCAAAGGCCCTTTTAAAATGGATTCATATATTTGGTATTGCAAGTATGGTTTATGGACATCAAGTTCATTTATAAATTTAAATCATTAAATGTAATCATGATGTTTAATCCATTCATACACAGTGACAGATAATTGGAGTCATATTTAAAGGAGTCTTGAGAAGGCCTCAAGATGTTGTTTTAAATTTTTTTAATTGAATTTTTATCTTTTATTGGAGCATAGTTGATTTATAGCATTGTTAGTTTCAGGTGTACAGCTAAATGATTCAGTTATATCCAGTCTTTATCAGATGCTTTTCACATATAGGTTGTTACAAAATATTAAGTAGATTTCTTTGTGTTATACAGTAGGTCCTTATTGATTATCTATTATCTAGATTTTCAAGATAATTCTCCAACAGACCTACCTTAAACTTTGCTGTAGTATAGTCAGGGGAGTTCAGCAAACCATTGGCTTGAGATAAATTATGCTTTCTTATACTTGCTCTTAAGCAAAGTACCTGTTTTTGCAGACCTTCAGTGGTGGCTCATCTCTGTGCCTGAGTTTCTACTGAATGAGGAAATAGTTTGAGCTGACTGATATTTGAGGGGTCCAAAATTTTATAAGGCTAAAGGAAGAGGGTTTCTTACACAGTTTCTAAAATAATCCTAAATGGAGTTTCAGGATTATTTTAAGCAGTGAAAATAAGATGTACATCTGTCACCCAACATGACTTATATAGACAACACTCATTTGGGTATATATATTTTTTTTCTCTGTAAAAATATTAACCTCCAGGCACTGTTCATTTATACCTGTTTGTCATGATATTTATGCAAAATATCATTCATTCATGTTTAGTAGAGTGCCTGCCTTGTGCCAGGCACTTCTCTAAGTGTGAGCAGAGCTGCAAACAAAATAGACAAAAATATTTCCTCTCATGGACCTTACATTCTAATGTGAGAGGAATACTCTTACGATTCTAAGTACCTAACTTGTAAAAATATAACAAATGGTGATATCTCAGCTGCTTAAAATTTAACATTATCTGCTTTATAACAATGTTTGAGGTTGATAGAGCAATTCATTATAATTTAGATATTTTACAAAAAAAGTCAATGGTATAATTAATATTTGGTCTATTTTATAATTTGGTATGTCATTATAGATAAGAAAGAAATCTTCCCTTATGTACAGGTGTGTACATGTAGTAGAAGTAGTTGATTGTCTTTAGTTTCCTTTTTTAAAAAATTTATTTGGCTGCATTGGGTCTTAGCTGTGGCATGTGGGATCTTTGTATGTGGTGCAGACTCTCTAGTTGTGGAGCACAGGCTCCAGAGCATGCACGTTCAGTAGTTGTGGCACAGGCTTAGTTGCTCCAAAACATGTGGGATCTTAGTTCCCTGACCAGGGATTGAACCCACATACCCTGCATTGCAAGGCAGATTCTTTATTACTGGACCACCAGGGAAGTCCTGTTTAGTTTTCTTGACAATCAATATTTAGAATGCCTAAAAGATACTTCTAGTAATCACTTTTTTTAAAGTCACCTCTGTTGAAGTCCCTTTAAACTGTTTTTCATAGTAAAGCTTTTGTATAGTCAAATCACATGCTGCTTAATAATGCATAACATTTGTTAGCTGATTTAACTTTCATTAGGATTATATAGGTCATGTCTTATAAATTGATAATTCTATCAATGAGAAGAATAGTTCTGAATGTAATAATATATTAGTTATACATAAAATAATTGATTTCAGGCTTGGGAGAAAGGATGGGCATAGGATGACATACTTTTAAGCTGCTGAAAGTGAAGTGGTCTTTACTGTTCCATTATCAAGAGTAAAAAGTGGAGGAAAGAGATAAGCATTTCAGGTGGAATAACACTTAATATCCTTTTTCTTTGTTCCTTATATAGTACTTAACATACATTATACATTCTGTACTGTATTTGCTCTTACATTAAGACATGTTGAGTAAAGATTTCTGGTTCAGAAAAGGATGTGAGGTATGAATCATGTTATGGGCTGAATTGTGTCTCACTTGAATTCCTGTTGAAACCCCGATTCCCAGTACCTTAGAATGTGGCTGTATCTGAAGCTAATAAGGTAAAATGAGGTCATATAAGTAGGTCCTAATCCAGTATGACTGGTGTCCTTAAAAGAGGAGAATAGGACACAGACACACAAGAGAGAAGATGGAAGACCAGGTGAAGACAGCCATTGACAAGTCAAGGAGAGAGGCCTCTCGAAAAACCAGCCCTTCCAACACCTTAATCTTGGCCTTCTGGTCTCCAGAACTGCAAGGAATAAATTTCTTTCGTTTAAGACACCCAGTATGGGGCAGGTTTTTTGTTATAGTAACCCTAGTAAATGAATACAATTAATAAGAACTTTAAAAAAAAAGAATTGGTGACTAGTTTCAGGATTATATTATTTTTAATTTAAAACAAATTGGCACCAAAAATGCACTTATCTTTGTCTTATTTTGCACTTTTTTTGAACTTTTATTTTACCCTCATGGCTTTCAGGCTAGCAGTGTATTTTCTTATGCTAGTCACAGGATAGCTTTCCTGAAGAGTCTCTGTTAGTTGATGGTTTGATGAATGAAATTTGCTGATGTTCTTTTTTAATGTTTTCTTCAAATGTAGAAACAATATTTGTAATTTAGACCAGTTGGATTGTCTTACAACATTAGACATGTTTTGGACTTCTTGTCATCACCACCACCTCCTGAATCTTCTACAGCTGGTAAAAAGGAGAAAAGCAATATTATTGGGAGTCGGTGGATATATAGTAGTTTTTTCCTAATATTAGAGTAACTATATAGCCTAATTTAACCTATATCAAGTACTAAGAGTTTGACCATTTTAAAACTTGACTTCATATTCAGAATTAGTCCATTTAGAAAATTAAATCTAATAAATGACTAACCAGTTAATGTCTCAGTTCTCAAAAGAACCACTGAACTATCCAGTCTGGGAATCTGAGTTGTTGCTTTGTGTTGCCTGGAGACAAAGTAATAGTCTTAGTTAACAGAGACTTCTCAGTGTAGTAGGAAGAAAATTCAGAAGTAATTTTTTATGCAAATAAAGTATAGAGATCCATATCCAATATACCAAATACTAAATCTAAAAAAAAGTCAGGAATGATATACTGCTCATTGTAAAATTGGGATAAAGATTAACTGTACTAAGAAATAACTTTTTGCTTTTCACTTGCTCAGTAAAAATAACCATTTTTGTTATCTTTTTGAAGCTCAGCTCAGATCTTACTGCTTTCATGTTGAAATCCATCCCTCTTAGGACTTCCTGTTGCTCTCTAGAGGACAGATCCATAAGGAGGCCTTCAGGGTAACACACCCATCTGGCAGAGCTGCCTGCATTCCTGGCTTCATCTGGTATTTTACTCTGTTTGCTCTCTAGACTCCAGCTACACCAGTTTTCAAGTTCTTCAAGTGCACCAAGCTTATTTTCACTTCATGGCCTTTGTGCATATTCTGTTCTTTCCTCTCCTTTCCTTTAAAACTCTTCCTCCTTTCTTTGCTTAGGAAAAGCCTGTCTTCAGTGTAGCATAAACATCCTTCAGGAACGACTTCCCTGATGCCCCAGGTATGCTTCTTCTGATAATTATAGTTAAATAATCGATTTTTCACTTGGTGCTCCCCTACCATGTGGTAAGCTCTATGAGATAAGGACCCCATCTTTTCCCAGGGCCTGCCTAACACAGAGCCTTGACAGAATACACAGCCACTAAACATTTAAGTGAACGTATATCCCAGAGTCAGGAACTCCTGTTTTTATTCTGTTGAAGGATATCCTTAACCCTTTAAGCAAAATGTTTTCTCCCTCTGAATTCTTAAAAATATCACTAAACACACGAACCATCTAAAAAGAATGTTGCTTTTTTTTTTCTTTTAACAAGGCCTTTCCAGACAGAGATGGTTTATTAAACAATAAGAATTTCTTACAAAACCTTCTAAGATTGGAGCTCTTGAGACAAAATACGAAATGATGACATTAATATTCCACTTTCAAGATGACATTTGAGTCATCTGATGAACTAATAGGTGATGTAAGCATCTTAACAGAGGCTTTCTGAAGATTATGTTAAACCTAACTGAGTGACTTTAGGAGTAGAAATTTCATCATGATAAACAGCACTACGGAGAAACATCTGAGGCACAAAGTCTTAGGGTACCTTCAAGTCACCCCACTCTGCTGGCCAGCTTTACATCTAGGGCTTCCTTAGATCTGGAAATGAGGCTGGAGATCTGTAAAGCTTTCTCATTATAAGGAGAGGAACATTAAGCTCAGAGAGGCTAAGCAAGATGCCCAAAGTCTTACAGCTAATACAGAATGTTAGGACTAAAATTATTTTCTCACCTAAACCTGATTGATCACACTAATCCTGTGGTTTTCATATTATTTCTTAAAAGTCAGTATTCTGCAGAGGTACCTCAGGAGCCACTTTATTGAGTGGATGAAGAAACCTAGCCCTAACCCCAACTTCAACTGGACCAAGCAATTCCATCGGGAATTATAAAGTAAGATCTTGTTCAAGGGGATAAAAACCCTGAAAACCACTAATCAGCTTCTTATAATTCTCAGTCTGTGGGCAGTAAAGCAAATTTCCTGTTTGCATTTACTTTTTATGCTTTTGTCGTGAGATTAAGCTCTGCTGGACTTACAGCTACTTTACAAGAAGCCAAAACAGATTCCATCTAACCTTTTTCAGTCGTATTTCCTTCTTCCTGCTTTTTCATCTCTTCAATTACCTTCATCTTTTCATCATACTCATCAGCTAGGGATTTCCATTCCACTCTGTTGTTTTGAAGACCATTCAGCATAGGTGTGATTTCTTTGTGAAACCGTGAGAACTCCTAGAGAGGAAATTGGGGTCAGAAACTACTTAAATCATTTGGTTCATTTTCAATACCTTTCATATGCAGAGAAGGAGCCCTAAGGAATTATTACAGTGCTCAGAGCTGTTAGGATGAGATTAATTCAGTACCTTGAAAGTGGGAAAGGTAGCTCTTGTCTTTCCTGCTCACCTAAGTAAGTTTATTCAGTTTGCTTACACCTGAGTTCTCTCACCTTTCATTGCATCCTTGAAGGAAAGATAAGGGTAATACCTCAAACTACCTTGGAGAAATGATGACACCCTTAGTGACTTTCCATGAGGGATGAGAGTGACTTTGATTTTAGTTACAGTTTGAAAGAAATTCTCATCCAGAAAATGATATATTTCACTCAAATAATCTATTTACTTACCTTATATACAAAAGTACAGACAAAGTCAATAAATCCAACTTGAAGTTTAGGTAGTTCATCTTTTTTGTTTCTGTCCATCATAGGCTAGAAAGAGAAATAAATTCTTTAAAGATAATTTTCTAAGATCCAGTGGACAAAACAGACTGATTTGTATCGATAATTTTTAATCAGTAGTGCATTTTTATGTCAAGGGTTTTACAATGGGTTGTTGCTGCAGCACTGTTCTCTCCAGATCTCCTTGTTCCCAAAATTCATTTGCAACCAGGAGTGCTACCTGCAAAGAGGAGGACATGATTCATGAAAGTCATGGTTCAGACTTATTAACAGAGAATTTGCATTTTATCATAACATTTTATCCTTAAATGAGTAACATTTAAGAACAGAATTTATAATTAATGCTTGAGGTATTGTCATACCATATGTTCTTTGGCTTTTAAATGATGTTATTTACAGATTATATTGAAATGGGCAAGGGGGATTTCTCTTCCTACTTCAGTGTGATAGACTCATTCTGGGTGTGCCAATCTCCTAGCTGCTATTGTCATCACCTCTCAACAATAAAAAGGGGAGAAGGGAGGATGTCTAATTCCATTTCATTATGATTCAAGCTCCAAAGCTTCCCAGATTCTCCTCTTGTCCTGCTTATCATCTGCCAGCATCTAGCATGTATCTGCCTGTGTGCTTATGCACATACATGCACAGCTTAGAACACGACTTCACCTGATACGTTGTGGGGATATTGAGAGTTAATTTATAATGGTTTTTTAAAAACCATATTTATCAAGTTTGTTGAACACCTTCTAGCTGCCTTACATTGACATGATCCAGGCTTACCAAGAGGAGTTAAGATGTGACCTTGATCTTTAAGATGCTTACAGTCTAATGAAGTCAGTCATGTAAAGAATGTGGAAAGTTCTATCATATCAACACTATCAACTGCTGTGGATCAAGGAGAAAGATAAGGGAGGTTGCATTTATGCTGTATCATCAAAGAAGACTAGTAGTTTACCAGTAAAGAAGAAAGGGAAGACTTTGTGCAGATAAAGTTGAATGTTTAGAGCTTGTGTGAGTAGGAGCTTAAGAGTGTGAGGCAGTAACATGGGAAATAAGAGAAATAAATTGGGGAGTGTGAGTTAAGGACAGGTAGCAACAAACCATGTATGCTTCACTGGGAAGTTTAACTTGATTCTCTGGGCCAGTAGTTCTTTTTCTTTGAGCCGTACGGTCCCTCCAAAGTGCACAATGGTACAAAAGTGGATGCCAAGAGAGATTATAAAGTACAGTAACTTTGCTTTTTCCTCTTATAAAAAGTGATCTATGTACAACTTTTTGTGCAAGGAAAATAGACATTGCTTTTTTCTCTAAAAAAGGTTGAAAACCTCCAGCAGTGGGGAGTTTAGAAGGCTTCATAAGCAAAGCAGTAGCGAAGCAGAGCTCTATTTATAAGCATTCCAGCAGCAACTCAGAGAAAGATTGGAGAGTTCATCCTAAGAGGATCACTTAGGAGGCTGCCACCATAGTTCTAATGACAGAGGGAAGTAAGAACTAAGAGGGTGGCAAGAGTGATGGACAGAAATGGTTTTGAAATGAGGGAGATGGACTCAAGCATGAGCCCAGGTTTTTGGCTTGGGTGACTATGTAGATAAAGAATTGAGGAGGAAAAGCAGGCAGTCGGTGAGGAGGGAGCACAAGTATCTGGTTTGGAGCCCAGCTATTCTATCTTAACAGATACAATCCACATTTACAGTTGAACCCAGGGAATTCCGGCCTCTTCTGCTTAGGGTTTTCCCTATGAATTAACTGAGGGAGAATTCTTTCATCGATTAGTAAGAAACCAAGTGGTAAGCAGATGGCTCCTGCTCATTCCCCACACTCCCCAAGGGTGAGGAAGACCTTCCTTAGAAGACGCCCTTAAACTGAACCTGCAGATAGTGCCGTCTCATGACTGACAGCACACCAGAGAGACGAGGAGCAAAACCACCCTTGAGGGATGAAGGCACTAGTGATTCCTCCTTGCCTGTCATGCTTTATCTCCTCTACTGAAAACCCAGACACTCCATGAATAATTTTATGTAAACTCTTACAGCCTGTCCAGTGATAACAGGAATTCCTTCCAGAAAGCATTTTCTTTCTAGGTTCCTTCTGTTTCCCTTGTCCTGGGCCTAACCAGATGACCTACTGACATCTGTCAGCTCTTGAAAGCTGTTTGCTTTTCTTCTCTAACAGAAACCCAGCAGGGAACATTGTACTTTTTTGTCTTAACTTCTTAACTTCCTTCTTCTTCTTTGTAAATTATAAACTGATGGTTTCAGAGGACAGGTCCAGGGTAATGAAGGTAATTGCTTTTAAAATATATAGTCATATAATTGGTTATAATTAAATTCTGAGGTTGCCAGATACCTTCACATTCACTGTCTCATGGTGCCTAGGCAAAGCCCGAGGGCCTGACAGAAAATGGGAACCCCTCACCTGACTTTGTACCTCCCAGGGCTTGGTTATAGCTGACAGATCACACGCAGTCATCATCATCGCCCTGTGAAAGAAAACAAAACATGTTTAAATAGAAATATAAAACAAGTTATTTTTGCCAAAAGCAAAATAAAATTTTATTTCTCACATGATAATCTCTTTTTTGGTTGGATCAATGGTTACATATTTGATGGCCTCTTCTTCAGTTTCCATTTTTTCACAGGCATCAACAATTTTTTGAAACATGGTTCTCTTCCTAAAAAAGAGACAACTGTGCAACAATTTTAGCATATAAGACCAGAGGTTTAAAGTGTCTTTAATATGTCCTTTCAGGTTTCATGTTTCCACTTTGCATCAGTTGTCCACATTGTGGACCTAGGGAGGAGACCAGGGAATGGCTGTGTAACCTTGATACACAAAGGGTTTAAGACAGAAATATCACAAGTCAGAAAGGAAAAAAAATTAGTAAATACATTAAAACTAAGAGCTACATGTGACAAAAAGAGATCATAACAAAGCCCACAGGCTATGATGAGACATTGTAAAGTATAAAACCAAATATTAGAACCTAAAATACATGAAAAGGTATGAAATTATAAGTGTGAATAATAATAATCTGTCTCACACTCAAATTAACAAATATATTTAAATATGCCCAGATCAAGAAGAGTCCAGATATGGAATAATAGGAACTCTTGTAACACTGCTGGAAGGAGTTTAAATTGGCATACCTAAGGAGTGTAGGAGTTTTGCCATGTGGTATAAAATTGAAGATATGCAAACCTTCCAGCATTCCCATATGTACTTTACAGAAACTTATATACACAAACATATACAATGTTGGCAGTGATGAAAAATTGGAAATAATCTAAATGTCCATGAATAGAAGAATGGCTAAATTAATTATGATAAAAATTACACAGTTGAATATACATTTAAAAAGAATGACCTGGATCTCAATTTACCACCAAGCTAAATCTTCAAAGTATTGTTTGAAAACAAGTTGCAGAAAGGTATCTACAGTATGATACTATTTATGGAAAAATTTTAAACACTTAATAATGCCATAGAAAACATGAATGGTAAGGATGAATACATAACAATACCAAGACAGTGGTATTTGTGAAGAAGTGGGGTGGGGGGGTGGCATTCATGATCGAGTGAGTACAGAATGCCTTGATTATACCACTTTCCTTGAAAAAAGAGATCTAAGAAAATCTTAGCATTTGTTGAATCTGGGCCATAGCTATTTGGATATCACTTACCTAAGTATCTGCTTTCATGTTTGAACTATTTAATAACTGAATTTTTAATGAAGGATTGGAGAGGCACAATTTAATACTGCCCAAGTTGTTAACTATTTAGACCCTGTAACTAGTTCACTTTGTCCTAATGCATTTTAAACTTTATAGTTCACTGACAAGAAAATGTAGAGAAGCTTGGAGTATCTGGTCTCCTAGGTAATCATCATCATCATACATAGGCTAATGCCTCTGCTGTATGTAACTCAGAAATTTTTTTAGTTTGTTAATGTGCATCAGTATCACTAAGATTTTTCAGCTCTCGGACTCTGACAGGATCAAATGTCTGAGCCTGCAACTCTAAATACCAGACTGCGAACTATGATGAATTCCCCAGATCAAAAGGCACTGTGTAAGGTTTTATAGCATCACTGTTCTGGCAGTCATCTACCTTGATGCAGTTTCTTCAGATAACAAACTAATATTAGGGGCTTAGCTTTTTAAAATATGTTCCAAATGTCCAGTAAATCCACCATCAGGCATCTTAAGGGTATTTATTGGTAATCCAAAAAGAAAATGAAGAAATGTGTCTCTAAATAAATGTCTTTTAACTTTAAGGCAGTGGACCATGGAAGGCAGAATCACACAGAGTATAAGGGAGTTCTGTACTTACTTGAAATATAAAGCCAGGTCAGTTGCTATTATTGCAACTTCAAACAAATGAATAACTGTTTCATACTGGCGTTTATTTAGGTTCTGGAAGATGTTTAAACTCTGTAAGATGAAAATTCAAAATAAAGTGCCATCATTAATTTGCCTTTGATTCAACAAACAAACCACCCTATGATGCTTAATAAGAGCATCTTATTATAGAAAGAAGATAAACTAAGTCTTACTTTTCTTGCTTTCAGTTTTCTGTCTAGAATTAAGTTACCTCTCTACTTACACTTTGAGTAAGATAATTTAAACTCTTAAAACAGATTATTAGCAAATATTCATGTAATCAGTATGTAAGTTTTCTTCCAGGACCATTTCAATAAAAACAATAGATTTAAATTTTTCTGTAGTAATTGAGAAACTTTAATAAAGAATACCTGTTTTTTGTAGTGGTTTTTGCCATACATTGACATGAATCAGCCATGGATTTACATGTATTCCCCAACTAATAAAAATAAATAAATAAAATTTATTCTCCAAGCCACAAAAAATAAAAGAATATCTGGTATTTGTCCAATTGTTAGACATGTTAAATTATTTACCAGATAATTTCAGAGTGATTATAGAAACTATGGGAGAGCTTTCAGAAGCTGCAGATTACAAAAGTACTCACACATAGAAAAAAGTAAATCTTCCAAGTTGTTTTTAAAATGAAGTGTTGCAATTCTATTTTACAATGACTTATTTCTACCTTTCTTCAAAGAGTTTCCCGCTAACAGTCCCCTCATGCATGGATCACCCTCAATTTTTAGTGTTCCAGAAACCAAGAGTGTTAATCTGGGAGTGGTTTTTAAAAGATAAGATATTCCAAAAAGAACATTTTTAGGAATACAGGCCAAAGACAGATGTGCAGTGACAAATGAAGTCAAGAGTTAAATACAGGAAAATCCCACTGGAAAGGAGGAAATAGTCTATTCACCTGTATAGAAACAGAGGCAGCATAATGTAGAAAAGAACACTGGGTCAAGCACCAAATAATAACAGCAGACACATAATGCTTCCCACTCCCCAGGCACTGTCCTAAGTGCCCTATGAAAACTCTTAGTCTCACAACAAACGACAGCATATAGAGGTTAGGAAACTTGCTCAAGGGTAAACAGCTAGCACACAGTAGAGCCAGGATAGCAGGGCAATACACCGACTCAGCAGCCCGGGTTCAGTTCCCAGCTTCCCCACGTGGTAGTTGTAGCGTCCTGGACACCTCATTTAACATCTCTTAAGTATTTCTTTTCTCAAATGGGGATAATATCAGCTGCCCTGCTAACTGATGATCAGTAAATACTGTGATCAGTAAATATTTGTGGAATGTTGATGCAGATGAGATAACGGGGAATGCATTTAAGAACAGCAAATTGCTACAGAATTTAATTATTGCTATATCATTACTGGTAAGTTTTGAGGTTATTCCCAGTTTAAAATAGAATTGCAAAACCCAAGACCAAATATAGCTCTGTCATTCCAGGAGACTGAAATACTAGAAAGCAAGAAATGGACTAGAATTATGTGTGCATAATACAGCCTCCACTTAGGTCATCTTTTTATAACTTCCAAGTCAAGAAAAATGGCATTTTACACAGCAGTAATGAGTTCATAATAGCAACTACAGCTAGACTTTTTTAATTGATAGAAGACATAGCAATTGACTACTACAAACTACAATAAACAAAAGAAAACTTATCTAGATAAAAATCCATGTCTTGCTTGAAAGAGAAAGTCCTCAGCAGCACGTTGGGTGTAATCTCTGCTCCAAATCTTCTGGATATAGGTTATTTTTAACTGGTCTGGATTGACCAGGAAGAGGGCAAAGTAAGTGGGCCGTTTGGCATTTAAGTCCCACTTAACCTTCCCTGATTTGGGTACACTGGTGGCCTGCCTTTGGATTGGTGGTGACCCTGTGGCATATTTACATCAGTGAGTCATTGCCCTTATCTGTTCACTGATACACGTTCTATGTTTCCCAAAGTATCGTGTAGTATGTAATTCCAACACATACTTTGTAGATCCAGTAGCACTTAAAGTCATTCTTGACTGCTGTACTCAGGAGAAAAAAGGGGATCATGTGTGGAAATGCCCTAAGTTTTTAGGCAAATTATTAGTAGCACACTTTAATCACTTTATATAAGTCATTTTAATCCTTACTATATACTGAAAAAATCTAAAATAGTGGATCTCAGGTGTTCTCACCACACACAAAAAGGTACTATGTTGATTGACTTGACTGTAGTAATGATTTTACTGTATATCCATACATCAAAACATCATGTACACATTAAACATGTAATTTTTTTAAACTAAAAAAGTCAGAAAAAGCCAAATAAAAACATAGAATGGGGAGAGGGGACACACAAGGCAGGCTGCCAAATTGAAATAAACAATCCCTTAGGATAGACTGTCTCTACCAAGTGCCAGACTGTACAGACCACACAACCATCAACCAAAATTACCAATATTTTTTATGCACCAATTACTTTTAATACATGTTGATTTTATTTTTAAACCTGGAGGATACTTTGCTATTTGCTAAATATATGTGTGTGAGAAAAAAGCTGTATATAGAAAGAAAAATAATACTGTTGTACTCCATTTAAGTCATACCTTTTTTTAATCCAGAACAATAAAACAGCTCTATTAAAGCAGACAGAATGGCAAACATTCTTTGACTTCACAAAGTAAATGAGTGTTGCATTTTTTTAAAAAGATGACACACTTTTTTAAAATTAGTATACTTAAGAAAAAAGGGTGTACATTTAACTATCCAGTACTGCTTCCTTTGTTGATAGCACAATATTCCTGATTTTCACTTTTCCCCTCATTTTTACTGTACAAGTCTCTAATTGAAAAACTCTTTCTTAATTCAGTATTATTTTTTATTTTCTCTTTTCCTTCTCTCCTAGCAAAAGTTCTTAAAAGAAGAGCTTGTAAGTAGTTTCATTTTCAGCCATGGATGTAGATTCACATAAAAGATCCTGTTTCTGTTTTGTATTAGTTACTAGAAATCCCTTGACCAAATCTGTGGCCCATGTCTAATAAATACCTCTCACTGTACACATTGTGGGCCTGCCCCATACTTCGTCTTATTTTTATTTTCCCGTTAGCCTTCATTTTTTCTTTAATGTTACATGTATTTTGGGGAGCTCCATTAAAAACTTTTTGGAACAAGTTGAGGATTAAACATATATACATGCATGCAGTTGTTTTTAAGTAAGCAAAGGCAGAGCCAGTAATCTTTTAATTGGAGCAAGAGGTCTTAGAATGTAGACAGGGCACAGAAGAAGGAAGGATGTCCCTCAAAAATCCAATCTGACACACACAGCAGCCGCAGAGGATGAGCTGCTGAGGGGAAACTATTCTCACATACATTTGCACTGACTTCTATTCGTCATCTGTGCCAAAGAGAATGCTTTGGGTCAAAAGCAGTGAAGGCAGGGAGGCTGGCCGCAATGATCAGATCCTAACACAGACCCTGTAGCTTCACAGACTTGCTTAACATAAGCCTTCTCAACTTCTGGAAAACCCAAATCAAAGAGGTGAGTTCTCCAGACCAAAGAGAGAGAATTGGTGAGACAGAGTTTGAATAAATAGAAAGCTGAGGCTGTCCTCAGTGCATTCCTGCCCTCCCCTCACAGCAGATGGCAAGGTCCATGAAGGAATGAATAGTTTTCAGAGGAAAACAAGTGTAAAACCTCTGCATAAAGACCACAAGAACACAAAATAGCCTATGGATTCAATGCGATTCTAACCAAAATAACCAAGTGTGTGGATGTGTGTATGTAAATTTAACAAAATTTCTATGAAAATACAAAGGTTTAATAAAAGCCAAAGCAATCTTCAAATAGAACAAAACTGGAGAATTTATACTGGAAGGAAGACTTTATTACAAAGCTATAGTAACTAAGATGACATACTGACAAAAGAAAGAGACACAAACTGACTAGTGGAATAGAATAGAGAATGCAGAACCAGTCCATTATAATCAGTTACCTGGTTTAGGACCAAGGTATCACTGAAATGAAGTGGGTCAATAAATGGTGCTGAGTCAACAGACTTTCACATGGACAGAAAAAGTATCTTGATCTCTACATCAAACCATATATAAAGATAAGTTGTAAAATGATTGTGGATCTAAATGAGAAAGGTATAACAATAAAATACCTTCATAACCTTGACTAGGCAAAAGACAATACTATACAACTAAAGAATTAATCTTTAAAAAACTGATCAGATGGACTACATTAAAATTGAGCTTATTTTCACCCAAATCCAATATTAGAATAAAAAGGCAATTCACAGGGAGAAAATATTTGTAATACATACTTCTGATGAAAGAGACATAAACCAGAATAAAGAATTCCTACAAATCAAATTGAGAACAAAGGTAGTCCCAAAACAATTTGAAAAGGTTAATATAAAAAATTGTAGTTTATGTGTGTAAATCGATGCTATTTAATTTGACACAAATCAATGCATCCCCCAAGTGACTAAAATGAGAAAGATGGAAAGTGTCAAGTGTTTGGAAACGATGGAGAGCCACTGGAACTGTTGGTAAAGATGTGTATTAATACAACCATTTTGGAAAAGAGCTTGTCAGCATCCACTGAGGTTGAACATATGCTCACGCTATGGCCAAGCAGTTCTATTTCCAGGTACATACCAAACAAATACACCCATGTGTTCACAAAAAGATGCACTAGAGAGTCACAGCACACCACATGTAACAACTCTGAATCAGAAGTCACACAAAGGTCTTGTAGTAGTTGACTGAACATGTAAATACAGTGCGTGACTGCACACACACACACTGAACTAAGAAAATAACAATGGAAGAAAGGAACACAAGGCAAATGAAAAATACATCAAAGGAAATACCCAACGGAACATGAAAAATTCATACTAATAATATCTATAGTTTCAAAACCACAAGAATTCAAAGGAGATTGTAAGACAACAGTAGAATTAAACTAGCAAAACTAGTAGTAGAATAAGAAGAATGGAATTGAATATAAAAGCAATATAATCCACAGTAAAGCTACTCAAATAGAATAAGCAAGGGACAGTCC